ATAAGGGCATAAAACATAAAAAAATTATAATAATTTTAAAATGTACTCAGGCTCTAAAGTTTTATGAAAAGCCTCTCCCAAAAACTGTAAGTGTTTTTGCAATCACAAATTCAGCTCTCACATACTAGAGGGATATTCTAGCAATATGTCTCTGTTCTATTCTAATGCTTTTTCTTATCTGTTTGTCTGATAGTCGATGCCTATCCACCACCCCTGGAAAGAACTGTCTTTATTCACACATAGAGATATGATTCAGGATTATAAAGGACAGAGGTAAACATTCACATCTGATCTACAAACTTTATCTAAACACACAACATGGACGCTCACAGATTTCAGTGACTGGTAAAGGGCAGCGGTGTGTGGGTGTGTGGGTGTGTCAATGATCTTTTTTAACCGTCATTCATTTTGTAACTCTGTTTGTACTTGTTGTTGGACGGCTGCCCCTTCACCAACAATTCACACTTCCTGATGTGTGACTGCTCTTATATGTCCTTGTGAGGACCTTTTTACAAAGTCAAAAGTAAGGAAAGTGATTTTTGTTTTTTATGTTCCTCATTTTGGGGAATAACTGTTTGGGTTTTCCCCCCATTAATGTTAAAATTAGGTTAATAAATAGGCCTAGGTCTGGGTTAGGAAATGTCACAGATGGTCCTCACAAGTACAGGAATAAAAATGTGTTTCAGTGTCAGCAGATTAGCATTAGCATAGCTAACTGAGAGAAGTGTTTGCAGGGGACTGATCTACTTTCTGTAATCTGACACACACCACCTTACAACCATGCTCTGAGTGAGTGTGTGTGTGTGTGTGTGTGTGCGTGTGTGCGTGCGTGCATGCATGTGTGTGTGAGCTCACTCTCTCTTCCTGTTTGGCAGTGTCAGCTGACCAATCAGAGACAGCATTGCGCAACAGCAGCTCAGACGTTTAAGTACAAGCCGATGACAACAACTGAAAAAGTAGAAACAGGAGCTACAGTAGAAACAATAGAGATCGTAGAGATAAAGCAGCTGTGACCTGCCACAGAGTCCCTGAGCAAGGCACCGAACAGTGTGTTTGATAAGATAAGGAACAGTGCAAACACTCTGTAGGTTAGTGTGACTGTGCTCTTGGTTGACACAACCTCAGTATGGATTTCACATTGTGCCAACTGAGCTGATCAGCTGGTCCACAGGTCAAAGGTCAGTCTGGGGAGGCCGTACTCGCTGCTGACATGACGTCACTTCTTACCACATGAGTTTACTCTCAGTCTTCATTGTTACATAAAGGATTTGTATGAGCATCAGCTTGTATGAGTTGCTGTAGTGATGTGAATGGATTAAATCGTCCAAGGCTGGATTAACCAATCAGACAAAGAGGGTTACTGAGCTGTCAGGGCCCTGAAAGCTTCAGACTCACTTTTGGTTTTGGGTAATGTGTTTAAGAGAATTTAATGAACAGAATAAAATCTGCAGCTACTCCTGAATAATATCAAAAGATTTTAGGATAAGGCTCATACAATTTAACATTTACATTTTTACTATTTAACTCCAAGTAAGTTATATAAACTTGGTCTAAAAGATTCCACAGCCTGCTGGAATTACAGACAAGGATACACTTGGACATGCGTTGCATTTATATGTGAAAGCAGTTTGTATTACCTCCAAAAATGTATATTTCAGAAGATTTATAAGGGATTATCTCTATTTCCAGACAGCAATAAGTATCAGACAACAAACAGCATGTGGAGAGTCTGCATGACTACATGAAATAATTATGAGAAAGAATATTATACTGAATGTGTAAAACTTGGAGCGTAGGTTTCTTTTTATGAATGTTTCAACAAAAGGATGAGATTACTTTGATTTCTTGTGGGAGAAATGCTGTTGTACTTTATGTCAGCATTATTATTTATATATTTTATATATTTATATTAGATGCCTACTTTATACTTTGGTGGACACCTCTTGTTTTTGTGTTTAAGTCTTTAGGTTAGAATTGGCAATCACTCAGCTGTTCACTGGTTACCGTGTTGTGTCAGTGTATGTGTGTGGAGGAGATCAGCCCCGGCACATAAGAACCGATACCATCAGCGCTTATCAATACTGCGGTCTTTGATAATTTAGCCCTGGGCCTAATTTAGTACCGGGTGTTGGTACCCATCCTTAAATCAAAACACAAACGAAGCTTGTAGATATGAAATAAAGTTTTCAGCGACTGCCCGTACCAGGAAGTGCGGAACGCTGCAAGTGTGTGTACCACCAATCAGTGTTCTTCGGCAAACAGCCCCGCCCCTCAAGAATTCCAGGTAATCTGAAAAGTCCCACCCTCTACTAGGTACTTTTTTCAGGGAAAGTTTGGGGGTGAGGGAAAGTTTTTTACCTGGGTAATTTCGGTGGAAATGTGCAGAGGTTTTTCAAAATTCTGCGTAATTGATAAAAGTTGCTGCGGTGGAAAAGGGGCTATTCTGTAGTCTCATTCAGCCACTTATTAGCAACCGCCTTTGTTAAGACACATGAAAGCTTAAATATTAACAAGTCAGGTGTATAGTGACATATTTTATGTTGTAGAACAAAACATAAAAGTCTCAAAAGCTTAACACACACAGACCTTATTTCAGGCATCTAACAAGAAACCCATTAAAAAAAAACGGTGACTTTGAGACGAGGGAAGCGGAAGTGCCAAAATACTAACCCAATTCTGGGTTTTAGGACTCACTCCTGCACCTCTCTATTACACAGGTATTAGGAGAAGCATGCTTTATGAGGCCTTCAGCTCAGTTTTACCCCAGGATTCCTCAGCTGGTTAATCCAGATCTCATCTGATCTTTAACCCTAACCACAAAAGTCTTTTTACACTTTCAGAATTAATTATTGTTGTACACTGTAAATCATCTTAAGGCAGTGCAAAACTGGTTTAGAGGATCACCTGAAACCTGCTCAACTGTCCGAACAGCCTACAACAGTACAATAAAATCTAGGTCTGAGAGGCTATAATTCCTCCCTACAAAGCCAAACACCGCACTGTTTTATCATGGCCTGTAAGAAATTATTATGCTTAAGAAATGTAGCCCAGAAAAAAAAAGCCAAACTGCTTTGCTGCTACAGAGAAACATTCAACTAGACAGCTAAAGCAATAGTGTCATAGTTATCTTATGCTAACTAACTTTAGAGTTAAGGCTAATGGGGGATACTGCCAAAGCTAGCAACCTAAGCTAAATTTAAACTTTCACCCTGAACTGTGATTCTAAAATATCACCATACTGTGATATGTCATTAGTCTGTTATCCTTAATAACTAAATGAGGCAATAGCTAAATCCAGTCAAAATGGAGTCTGAGATAAAAGCTAAACTAGTGCTGCTAAACGCTAATTAGCCTAGCTTAGCAGAGTAGCAGTAACTACTGTCTCATCCTCATCCCCTGGTGGGATAAATGTATTTTGATTGGGTTCAGCTCACTTTAAATCACATATTTGAATGTATTAAACTGTTAATTGTTTATTATGATTTTTTAAATCATCAAAAAATAAAGCTTTGTCTTATATTAAGTCAAAAGGACAAGAAAGCTAAAAGAACAGAACTTTTTCCCCCTAAGAATAAATGTACAATATAAATGCAGCAGGGATACTGGTACTCAATTTGCCTTGCTCAGGGGGCAACTTTTGAAAATTGACAGTGGGCCAGGGGCCAGTTAATATATAAACATTAATAATTAATATATAATTAACCCAGACCTCTGTTGGGGGTCAGAGGTATCCTCCCCTGACACCATTTATTACAAACAAGTTCTATTTTGATGCCTCTTTATGCTCTCTGGCACTTGACTTATATTAAAAGTGCATAAATATTTCCAGTATGAATCAATTTATTTTCATTGTGAATTATAAAATTGTCAGCGGGACACACAGCACCCTGTTGTGAGCCAGATTTGACCCATGGGCCACAAAGTTGAGTCACTGTACACTCTGTCCCACTGACATTTTGTGGGGTAAAATAATCCGATCAAAAAGGCCTTAAATGAAAGCATTAGCTACAACATTATTTTTTATTTTACAGTTTACCTACCAGCCTGAAAACTTAAACTTTCTTCTGTAGTCACCGTTCTCTCACTTTAAAAAGCATAATTATAGATCTTAAATAAGAGTAAACAACATGTATAACCCCCCCGTTCCTCACACTTTGACCTGTTCCCGTTATTAGTTTATGACACACTAACACAAAGAGGCTTATGGGCCCTCCTTCCTGCACGTCCAAGTGGGTGTGACCGGCCCACTTCATTTTATGTAATCCACTTCAACTGCTCTCTGTGTAGGAACAGTGTTTCTCCCTCCACTGTGCTTTAATGCACGTCTAAAAGTTCTGAATGGAAAATAACTCATTTCTTAATGACAGGCTTTTTTTTGTTTTATTTAAGTATAAGGAAACAGTAGATTTATGAATGAATGACTGTATTGATTGTCTTAGTTTATGTACTATTCATTTAATAACTAATACCCATGATTATTAAATATGTCATTCAGCAGTATTTATTAATATGATGATTTTTGGTGGCCATGACCACAGTGGAAATAAGTTATATGAACTTTTGATCAAGTCTGTGTTATGCTTCAGTTTCAAATGTCTTTGTCTACTTTAAGTGCTTTATGTGTGTTGGTTTATGGCAAAGAAAAGTCAAATCAAGTCAAAGTTATCTAATAATTTATCAAAAAAAGTTTCTAAATGCTTATTTCTGCATGTGTGTATTTAATGCTAGATTTCTTGAATGTGTTTCTTTACTGCTCATCTCTGCTCTTCCTGCTCCTCTCACATATTGTCATGTGACCTGCTATTTTAATGAATATGAGCACCACTAAGTATTTATTTTTACGTTTCTTAACTGTGCACATAGACCATAAAAATACCTGTGCATTATTCAGTCTGAGCTGAATGAAATGACTCAGTGACACACTAACCCTGATTATTCTGACATTTTATAAATAATAATAATTTACACTCATGTGACTCCACAAAGAAAATCAATCAAGCTCATGTTACATCAATAAGATATTTATTTGTTGTTTTTTCTTTTCTTTTTTAATGTACAGTAAAGGGAGTTTTTGTTGATGTGAGTCTGCATCAGCCAATCATCTGCAGGCTGATCCAGCCAGCTTGATGCCAATTGGCTGTTTGGTCTCACTCCCACCACCCAACCCTTCTCCCTTTGTGTGCAACAGCAACAACAGAAAGGCAACACTTTACAGCACCCAGACACAACACTGTACATGAACCAAACGTGATTCAAACAAGATCTGTAAAAAACATCCGTCTTAATGTCATTTAATCTTGCATTCAGTTGTTTTTTTTCTTAAACCTAGAAAAATGCCAACAGGGTGAGATCATTTCACTTCATTTCAGCATCTTAAAAAAGATTTACTAAGGCAGATAACTGCACGGGTATTATAAGAATTAAACTTGATTTAAAAAACATTTTTAAAAAGTTGATTTCTGCTGGAAACTAGTGGAATCATCTTACCCTGCAAGCAGATTCTTAACACGTTAAGGCTAAATGACTCGATAAGATGGAGATTTTTTTTTTAATATAAAAAAGTCTGTGAACATGAAGCAGAACAAACCTGACCCCGTTCAGTCTGAGGTTTCACTCTGCTGGGAACAAAATGGCCCCCTCAAAGTTTCCCCTTAGGGTGTCAGGATGTCACAGAACTCAACAAAGTCCCTCTGCATGAAATTCTGGCTCTGAATCAGGTCGTCTTCAGAGGGGAAATACTGCATGCTGTCCTCCTGCAAACGCAGATTGTCCCGCTGCAAGCACAGGTTGTCCTCGTGCAGATGCAAACTGTCCTCGTGCAGTACCAGGATCTGTCCTGGTGGCGTTGTTGAGCCATGTGGGTTGGGACTGTCCAAGAGGGCTCCTCTTGCATTCTCCAGGACGCCCAGGTACGAGTCCATGTCTGTGAGCTCCACGTCACTGTCTGAGCTCATGCCACTGTCGCTCCCCACTGAGTCGGAGCGCATGTGTAGCATCTGATACTTCTCGTGCATTAGAAACTGGTTGGTGTTCTTGGGGGCCCGCATCCCCCTCGCTCTGTTTCCTTTGACGTTGACGGGCCGAAGGGACATCATCGGCCTCTCAAAATGTCGGGGATGATTGTAATGAGGATGATGACGCTGAGGGTGCTGGTGGTGGTGATTGCGCCCTCTCGGCCACCCTCCCCCTCCTGTCCTCCGCCCCTGCAGGCGCCCCCTGCAGCTCTTGGTCCAGCCGTGTTTCCTGCGGCTGGATGGGTCCCTCTGCGGAGCCTCTTGTCCATCTTGCTGCTGATGCAGCTGTTGCTGGCAGTGTCTCCTGCACATCATCTCAGATAGCATATTCTTGTCTTTCTTGCAGACGCCTCCCTTCCTCCCTGCCGCTCTTCTTCACATCCCTGCCCGGTGGCCCACACAACAACAACAAAGAGAGGCTGGTTTCAGGTTTTCTGGCTCAGATCACAAATGACCCTCCTCCCTCAGAGTCTACCTTTTTACTATTCTTTCACTTTTTTTCTTGACCTCTGGCTTTCGCCGATGCATAGCCTGCTCTTCCTCCCCTTGCAGCAGCAGCTTGCCTGCTCGGCTGGCTCCCTGTCACGCCCTCCTGTCTCACTAATCTCTCTTCTTAGCCTCTCTAAGAGTCAAATCAGCGTCTTACAGCTCTGGTTAGTGAACTGAAATGAGCTGCTGAAGGTGATTTAAGCGTCGTCTAGTTGAGTAAAAGCTGTTTTTTTTCTCAGTTTTAGGCCAGTGAGTGGTGCATACTCAGCTCTGACCAGCTCTGACTGTGGCTCTTCCGTCCCCTCTCAGCCTGGATAAAGAGATGGAAGGATCCATTCACAGCTTCAACAGGAGGATGGGGGCAGGGTTAGCAGGTTTCCCCACTGCTGATTAACAACATTGTAACAAGACCATTCCTGCACAGTATTACTTCTGCATATGTTTATTAGACATTACAACATATATGTTGTTTTACAGGTGTCTCAGTGCATGCTGTGGTCATAATAAGCATTAAGCCTCTCCCTGCAGCAGGATGGTTCACTCCGCTTCAGTTTTAGCAGCTGAAATCTGATCCACAGCTGCTGCTGTTCCTGCCCCCTCTGACAACAGAAACACTGTACAGCAACAACAACCAGCAGCACTGGGGCAGGAGGACAGTGGTTGTTACTGTAATAGCAGTAACAGTAGTTAGTTATTGTGTAATGCACATGCAAGTACTCAACCCACATGGAATTATAAGACACTGAAAACATTGTTTCAGTGGTGAACACTGTTTTTTAAATACAGCATTACATTACAAACTGGTTGTCTTTTGTCTACAAACAGAATCTGCTCAAAATAGATTCTTTATCTAAAACACAACTCAATATTATAGCCATGCTACAACGTGGCTCGAAGGATGGCAGCGTCAGTCAGGCTGTCCACTGCTTTTGGTTCAAAGTAAGCAAGGCCTTTCTAAAAAAATATTGGATGTATTAAAGGGGAACTATACCTTTCGTCAAAATTAGTACATTGTATTCCTATGGTCTAGGACAGTCCAAAAATATTATATAATGAACAACTCTCTCCCAAGTCCAGAAACTACGATGCTAAAACTAAAATTTGTGATGTCATACAATAGAAAGTCTGGAGTTGATCTGTAAGCCCTGTTTCCACCAAACACTTTCAGTATGGTACCTTTGGAACCAACAGTAATCCTTCAGACATGGTACCTAGTCCCTAGTGTTTCCACCGTAAACAGTCCTCTTAAATGTGGGGGAGGTTGTTGTCACTCACTGCTCCGTCCAGCACTCACTGTATTTCCTCATTATCGATGGGGCGGCAGTAGCTCAGTCCATAGGGACTTGGGTTGGGAACTGGAGGGTCGCCTGTTCGAGTCCCCGTCTGGACCAAAATATGGAGCGTGGACTGGTGGCTGGAGAGGTGCCAGTTCACCTCTTGAGCAAGGCACCAAACCGCTCGGGGCGCCTGACCAAGGGCAATTGACAAGCAAGAGTGAAAACATTGAATTTCCCCTCAGGGGAATTAATAAAAAGTAAATAAACTAAAATAAAATAAACAAAGATGGAAGTCTGCACCTTGTTTATCGTCCACAGAATGAGGATCTCCTACTTATTCAGTCTCTCTTTCAAACTCAGTGCAGACTATACTGGATCAGTGTTTGAGTGCTTGGGTAGAAATGGACAGTATTTTATGGTGGCGCATCATTGCATCTCGCCGGTAAAGAAGCTAAAATTAGCAAGTTTATCCAGGTGTTGTACTTCAATCAATGCCGATAAATACGCGTGACTACTGCAGAGAGATTTGACCCAGAAGTGAATGCTGATTGTAACCTTTTACATCACATTAAATGCACAGATGTTAGTGGGTGTTAGTAGGTTTTTTGTGCAGTGGAAAAGAGGCTTTATGTTCAATCTCCCAATAAAATGCATCCCACTGACTTTATTGATTCCCTTACATTTCATCTAGTGCAGTGGTGTAAGGTAGTTACGATGGGCCCCAGTGCATGCTATTATGACGGGCCTAGTTACACACACACACACATACACACACACAGAGTTTTAGGCATATATATATTTTACCAACGGTGTGTCTTACTGCTGCTATTATCTTCTATCTGCTTGCAGATGTGCCCAGCTTGTCAGTTTTGAGAGATTTGCACCTAAACTAGCTGCTGTAAATCTTGATATGGGTCACTGACATACATATTACCCAGCAATCATCATGTGTATATGACAAAAACTACAAAAGAAAAGAGGAAATTACAGTTAAATTAGGGTTTTTTTAATAGATTATGCAGAATAAGAATATAATTTTGTTATAGACTGATACTATTTTACAACAATAGAAAACCATAATGGAGATGGGTTTGTGTTTTTGAGGGTATATATATAGAAAATTGCACCATTTTCTTTATTAACTTGAGTTCTTCTTTGGTGGCAATCAGGCCCCTCCACCCCAAGGGCCCCAGCGCAACCTCACCACCTCCACAATCTATATTAACGCCCCTGATCCAGTGCCACCACAAGGTTCATATTTGAGAGTTTAGTGAAAAATCTCAACACTTTTGGATAGATTTCCATGAAATTTGGTTTAAGACATCCACATCCCCCTCAGCATGAATAGTAAAAACTTTATGATCCCTTGACTTTTCGTCTGGCAGCATCATCAGTTCAAAGTTTTGGATTCTTTGGTTTATGAGCAAATGCAGTCTGCATGCTCACATTAGCATTTAGCTCTAAGCACAGGTGTGCCTACGTACAGCCTCACAAAGCTGTTTCACTGTAGAATGTAGTCTTATTTATAATCATCTAGCCAGAAGAAGTAATCATAAATGACCTTTTGCCAAATAAATACAGCCCCTTAATCAGTTAAATGATCGATAAAACGTGAACTTTGTGTTTAGTGTCACCTTTATCACACAAAGCATTTCCACTTGAAGAAGAGCATTAAAACTAATATGGCTTCCTGCAGCTATTATAAACACAGCTATCTCCAATATTTCAATCTGTTTAGTTCAAAGATACAGTATGTAGGTCAATTAAATCTAACAAAGGAGAGACCACATGATGACAATTGATGTGTTTGCAGCTGCACCAGTGACCCCATGTGGCCGTGTTGCATAATACACAGAGCAGTTTGAGGCAGAGGGAGAGGTTGGTGTTTATGTCATCCATCCAGAAACAGTCTTGGCTGCTTTAAAGGGGAACACCAACTAAACTGAAAATACCAATACGTCATTTCCACAGTCTGGAAAAGCTCGATCAATATTTGTGAACATGAGCTGCTCTCACTAAAAGCCAGAGACCAGAGAAGTCTCAAACTTGTGATGTCATAGGGTATAAAGTCTGGAGCTGCTCCATAGACAATGAATGGACTGTTTTTGTGCATCAGTGTGTTTGTTTTCTTTTTTGTACCCAAATAAACTTTATTCTATTGTAGTGTTCTCACCTCTGAAACAGAGAGATCATTCTCCTGGGTGCTCTCAGTGTCGACTATAACAACTTTCCCAATGAACTGGCTGTGTCCGACATTCCATACTACATGCTATTTAATACGCTTAAATTTAAGTGTTAAGAATTTGAGAATGTAAGTTATATAGTTTCAAATTTATTTTTAAATTACCGGTAGAGCTGAGGATGGCAAGGGATTACCATAGTTACGCATCTCCAACTGGCAACAAGGCTCTGAGGAAGTAATGTGTTAATCACGGCTCAGTACATCCAAAAAGATATTTACTATTGTACGGGAACTTGGAGTAGAGCCGCTGCTCCTTCGCCTCAAAAGGGGTCAGATAAGGCGGTCTGGACATCTGATCAGGATGCCTCCTGGGCGCCTCCTGTTAGAGGTGTTCTGGGCACGTTCCACTGGTAGGAGGCCCCGGGGCAGACCCAGAACACACTGGAGGGACTACATATCTCATCTGGCCTGGGAATGCCTTGGGTCCCCCAGGAGAAACCGGGAAGCATTGCTGGGAGAGAGATGTCTAGGGTGCTTAGCCCCGGATAAGCAGGTGGAAATGGATGGATGGATGGATGGACATACTACTGTTTATGTAAACAAAAGTATGTTGAAAGATAGTACACATATTGGGTATGTAGTGCATAGTAGTGTTGTAGTCAAGACCACACCAACGGAGACCAAGACATTACAGAGACCAGAGAGTACCGAGACCGAGACAGGACCAAGACATTTGAAGACCGAGACCAAGACCATATATATCAAAGGAAAATCATAACAAAACATCAAAATGTGAGTTTTTTTTATGTAAGTTTGCTTTTAAATAAATAGAACAACAAAAACAATATCTGCTCTGTTGTTGCAGAGCACAATGAAACAAATCTTAGCAAACTTGTTGTTTCACTTTTTGAAATAGTTCACCATATCAAAACTAAATTGACCTGACAAGTCACAATAAACCTTTCATTTCAGAGAGAAAGAATGAAAAACAGTAAAGAACAAGGCCTAAATTAACCTTTGTATTGTCCTCCGGGGTCCCCATCTGTTTTGACTGTTCCTTCTCTCCTTCCTTCCTCCCTCCCTCCTTCTCTCTTTCTTTCCTCCCTCCTCCCTTCCTTCTTTCCATCCATCTTCCCTCTTTCTCTTTTTTCCTACCTTCTTCCCCTCCTTCCCTTTCTTTCCTCCCTCCTTCCTTCCTTCTTTCCTTCCCTCCTCCCTTTCTCTTTTTCCTTCCTTCTTCCCCTCCCTCTCTGTCTTTCCTCCTGTCACAAATAAACTCCTTGTGTTGTGTGAAACCAAACTTAATAATTGTTGGCAGACATCTTTCACAACGATGAGTTCACACAGCCTCTCCTCCTGCCGTCTCCATCCTGTGTGTGCAGGGGGCGTACTACAACACTAGTGCATAGTATGGGATTTCGGATGCAGCATCTGCCTATGGAGCAGTTCCAGACTGTATGCTTGATGACATCACAAGTTTGAGTTTTAGCACTCTAGCTTTTAAAGTTGGGAGATAGATGTTCATATTTACTTATATTTTTGGACAGTCTTTGACCACAGAAATAACATTTATGAATTTTAAAAATAGGCATAGTTCCCCTTTAAGAGATTCATCTGTTATACCTCACCACAACTGACACCATAATAGTGTTTCTTAAAATGTTTAAGTTTGTCCTGAGAGTTGATGGAGTCACTGGGGTGTGCACAGTCCAGGACAGTTTGAGTTTGGAAAGCTGATTGCTTTTTCTCTGAAAATGGATTTTGATGTGGCTGATTCTTGTTATGGAGACCAGTATCTAGCTTTTAGTCTAGCTTTTATTTAATTGCTCTTCTTTTATTGTTATTATTATAGCACTTTTTTTACAGTAGGCCTATTTTATTGTTATCATTTTAATCTAGTTCTTCCTATTTACTTAAGTTCTTCAATCTTCTTTTTATTTCTATTTTACTTGTACTTTTACTGTTATTATGGCTCATAAATCCAGGCTACCTTATTGCATTTTCATCATTCCTTTTGTCTTGTGTGCTGTTGTCTCAGATTATTTAATTGTTTTGGTCTTTTTGTTGTTTTTACGGCCTACACATGTTCCGTCTTATCAGCCTGTAAATTACCTGCGAGGAACTTTGGACTGGGCGAACCTGTGTGAAAGGTGCTATACAAATAAAATATGATTGATTTATTGACTGAATCATGTGCAGGACAAACACATGAGGATGATCCCATCAGGCAACAATAAACTACTGTTACCCTCACTGATGAGACATATGGTGTACTATGTGCTGACTATTTAGACTATTTCAATACAAGTCGTCACCAGCCGTCCTTATAATCCACTAATATTTGTTGCCATAGTAACATGGAGTTTATGAGACTTACAGCAGCACAGAAACAACTTGTTTTCTATATTGGCTAGATGTACAACAGTCATGGCAAAAATTAAACTCAGTCAGGGTTAAACACTGATTGTGGAAAAATAAAAATAGACCAAGTGAATTAATAAAAAAATATATATATATAAAATACAAAAACTGTGATAACATAAAGAGAGCATGGCTATCACTGCCATAATCAATATATCTTCATTGCCACTTCTTTTTTGATGAGGGGATCATCTTAATGTTAGAGATGTAACATAAACAGGATTATATTTAGCCTTGTATGTTTATAAGCAGGGCTCTATTTCATATTAAAGACTAAATGTTTTAAATTTTTTAAGATTTTACAGATTTATCGATTATGTATGTGCTTATATGACAATGTAAGGGGGTGCTGAACATGATAAGCTTTGCTTCCTTCAGCCCCTTCTCGAACTTGCACGTTATCACAGTGTGCCATTTTTTTTTCTATTACATATACTGCCTGTTTTTATGCTTGTGCTTGTTTGAGACAAATAAAAATCAAATCAAATCAAATACACTACATTAAAGCTCGGTTTTAATAATTCAAACATTTTTGTGTAGAAAGTATTTGCCTTGAAAACAGTAAGATTGACTGTGAATCTGCATCTACCCTATAATATTTGTGAATGCCAAAAACAAAATATCCCAGTCTAAATATAAAGTTATAGAGATACCAATGGTGGAATGTACATTTGCTCAAGTACTGTACTCAAGTTCAGTTTTGATGTAATTCTACTTTCAGAATCAGAATCAGAAATACTTTATTGATGCCCGAGGGGAACTTCATTCACCAAATTCATTACAGTTGCTCCGATGTAAGAATAGAGTAGAGAATTATAAAATGTAAGAATAAGAGTATGAAATAAAAGTATGTAAATATAAAGCAATAACATAAAATAAAGTAGAAATAAAATGTGCATTGACATAAAAATAAAATGTGTATTATGCTAGAGTGTTTAGCACTGGTATGTAAGATATTAAAAATGAAATATTAAAAATAAAATATATATTGTCACTGTGCTGAGGCTGTAAGTGTGAAAATTTAACTACAATATCAGTAGAATAAAACAATAATAGTTGTTTCCTTGATTATTTCAGTGTAGCTATTTAATACTTCTTCTCCACTGCAATAGAGGGAAATATTGTACTTTTACTGCACTATATCATTAAAAAATAAACTATGATGCATTATGATTACATAATAAATTATTCTGCAGTAAAAAAAAAAAAAAAAAAAGTTACATTAGCTCCACCTTTAGCTGCAGTATTAAAGTGATTCTGACATGGGCCATTCTGCTTAATGACAACTTTTAATTTTGCTGCTTTATTATGGTACTAATACTTGATTTATACTTAAGTAAGGTTTTGAATGCAGGACTTTTACTTGTAATAAAATATCTACACATTTTGGTGTTGCTACTTTTACTAAACTATATCTGAGCACTTTTTCCACAGCTGTACACCTGCCTCGCCTCAGCTGCTTCTCATATTAGTAAAATATGTCCTTCAAATCTTCATTTAATAAAACTGTGCTTTGTTTTAAAGAGAAATGTCTCTAATGTTCCCAGTTACTGCACTGGATTTGTCACTTGTTGGGCTGTTCTCTGCCTTAGAAATATTTTGCAACCAGGTCACAGCACCACTCCTCTTACATGGATGGATTAGGTCGGTTACCTCATACTGCACCTATGTCTCTCACTGTCATCACTGCTACTGAGCTGCTATTAATAAACAGTCATAATGCTGCGATAAATATTTGGAAGATGAGTCATGTTCCTATTATCGGACAAAGAGGACACATTTCGGTCATTTTCTTCTTTTGTAGTTTTATTTAAGCTTTATTGTTTGAGTAATCTTGTAACGTTACCTTACTACTCATTCGATAATCGTATGTTTGATAAACGTTTAACAAGAAACAGATTTTCCTGACATGAAGACGTAGAGAACAGTATGTCCCAGCACAAAGGCAGACTAATAAAGTTAGAGGGTTTTGAAGGCGGTCAGCTGCTCCGTGCGGCACCACAACAAACATGGCGGCGGGAGGCGGCTAACGGCTAGCTGAAGGGAATTGCTGGGAAACCTCTAAAGCCGTTTTCCTGTAGAGGCTTTTTTAAACTAAATTACAGAAATCATTTACTTCGTCGTAATCTCAAGATGGAGTCCGCCCCGTTTCCAGAGGAGGTTTCGGAGAGGAAAGTGTGTGTTGTCGGGTCGGAGCTGGTGGAAAACTACACAGTAAGCTACGTCCGGGACCTTTAGCGTAGCACCCGTTAGCTTAGCTTAGCTTGTAGCTACACTTAGCTTTTGGTCTGTGAAAGTGACAGTGAGTTAATGTTGGAGAAAAACGCTATCAGTGGAAACATTATCTGCTCAGTTATTCTACTTTTCCCCTGTCAGTCGTTATGTCTTTATCCTCCGAGGCTGGACTATAAGAAACGAAAGTACTGATAAGCTAACTGCTAGCTGCCGGGCTATCTGAGCTGTCATAATGTATTTTCAACGTTCCCTACAGACCTGACAGCCCAATGCAGCTTTTTATTTCTCGATCAGAGACGATATTTAATGTATTTATGGTGTAACTGTCTGAACTGGAACGTTTGACAGACAGGCAACCGCTGACATGGCAGGAAAAAAATCATGATTGTTCACCACAGCTCCTCAAATTATCTGTTTTTAACATCTAGATTTAAAAGATATATCCTTTATGTACAAAGGCAACAGCACCATGACATCCACAACATTCAGATGACAAACCCTTTATAAAAGCCAGGTAGTTTTCTTTGCTAAACATTTAAACAAATCATTACTGAAGCAATTTTCGTCCAGTAAAAGAAAAAACAACAGTTCAATTAGGAGTGATAATTTATAGGGCAATAAAATGTATGACTTTCTACAGTAATCATGAGATGAGTAAAAATTATCTTGTTTTAGATGTATTTGTATGAGCATTGTTGAAGGAAGCCTGAGATCTAAGATTGTCAATGCCAAGACCTCCTTCTTTATATTTATGTGCATATGACAAAAATAACTTGAAGGTTCATCATTGACGTTGGACATCAGCTCAAGGTCCGCTTACTGGAACCGTTATGAAGCTTTCAGCTGCATCCCACCGTCATCCTCGGTCTATTGGGCTTTCATAGAAATTGTTCAATTGTTATCACTCCAGCAAAGTGTAGAACGTAGTTCACCTGACAACAGGTGGATGTGTTTAGAGGGGAGATGGTTCAAAGCTGGTGCTTGAGCATTCTTTATCCCTGCAGCTCAGGAAGCAGTATTTAATTCAGAGAAGTTGTTACAACTGAATGTCCTGCTGGTGTGTTTTAGGTCTACATCATCGAGGTGTCAGATGGAGAGCACAAATGGTCTGTGAAGCACCGCTACAGTGACTTCCACGATCTCCATGAGAAGGTAAAAGACGTTGTTGTTTTGTCAAAGACTGTTACCTGCTAATATATGTGTCACCTACCTAAACCTGAACCAAACCTTTAGCCCTAACCCTAACCACTGAGGGGGGCGCTACGCACCAACAGAAGTGAAACACTGTTTGATGATCACTTTCACTTCAGCTCATTCAGAATGTGGCTGCAAGGGTCGTGACAAAAACTAGGAAACATGACCACATTACTCCATAAAAATCCTCACACTGGCTACCTGTCACTCAGAGAACTGATTTCAAAATCTCACTCCTTGTGTATAAATCACAAGCGCCCAAATATATCTCTGACATCCTGATAGAAGAACCTTCTAGGACCCTTAGGACATCTGGTGCTGGCCTACTGACAGTCCCAAGAGTGAGAACAAAAGATGGTGAAGTAGCATTTTGTTATCATGCAGCATAAACCTGGAATATCCTCCCAGATCATGTTCGACAAGCCCGACTCTGGTCACTTTATGTCAAAGTTAAAAATGTTCCTTTTTTACATCACCAACTCCCTCTTGTAATGACTGCAAATTCATTGTTAAACTCATTAGTCATTTTAATCTTCTTATGTTTGAATTACTCTGGTGTGTGAGATGTCCGATACAAGTAAAGCTGCCTTGCCTTTCACCCAACATTGATTTTGTACTCCATCCAGGTAAACTAACAGCAAGACAAATATTTTTGAATTCAGTTTTGTGCTGTGATGCATGAAGCAGTGTTTCTTACACTAAGTTTACCACTGCTTAACTAAAGCACTACAGCGTATTGGTCAATGTTATAATGCCACAAGAAACCATATTTAAATGATAATTATTAATAATTATTAGAGATGCACAATTTGGACTTTAAGGGCCAATAACTGTGATTGTCCATCTTGCAATTGCAAGAATGTGAAGTGGACAATAGAGGCTGCCTTTCTGATAAACAGACTAATTTTCCTACTCTGAATACAACGTTTACAAACACTTTGTCGTTACCATAAGACTGGCCAATTCTACTGACATCCTTCTTTATGTTACATGTGCTAACAAGCAGCAGTGCAACTGATGTTTACCTGTGAGACATTATACTTATCCTAATTATACTTGTGATGTTCATTCACAGTCACAAAGTAACCACACCCCACTGCTGTTGTAAGAAAAGCTCCACATTACCGGATGGAATTATTCCCTTAAATTCCATTATCGGAACAATGATTAATAATTTACATTTCTCATTTATCAGAGGATAATATGCTGGCTACGGATACACTGTGCATCCCCACCCATTAATAACCATCATGCATTATGTCAGTGAAGCACCACATCCGTTCATTGAGTGCATTATTGCACAACTTTGACCAAATAATGTTGACCAAAGTTTGACTGTGATTGATTACCAGTGTGCTGTCTGAAAAGTGGTTGGCAGTAATGTACAGCAAATGTGATTTGAATTGAATGTGCTAAATCATAAAAATGACAGTATTACCCTTTGAAAACTTAAGTTATTTATCCATGTTGAGCCCTGTGGGACATACGGCTGTTTTAAAAACTTTTGGAGTGTCTTAATTCATTCAAACTTGTAAGGGAACAGAGAGGAGGAACTTCCGACTGTGGTGAAAACACCTCTGGGTTTACACTTCTCTTACACACAAATCCTGTAACTAGCGATTAGTTTCAGCGATTAGATTTTGATGAGTTTGTTTATTATTTCCTTGATTAATTAATAAATCATTTATACAGTGGTAAAAATGTTAGTCACAATTTTTTAGAGTCCAAGCTGAAGTTTGTAAATGTCTTGTTTTGTCTGACCAGCAGTCCAAATCCCAAACATATTCAGTTTACAAAATGTAAAACAGAGAAGAGAAGCGATTCTTCACATTGGAGAAGCAGCACCCAGAAAGTGTTTGACATTCTCACGTAGTAACTTAACGTTTTTTCTTGACGTGTTTCCCCTCAGCTGACGGCAGAGAAGAAGGTAGACAGACGGTTGCTTCCTCCAAAGAAGATGTTGGGGAAGAACTCGAAAAGTCTGGTGGAGCGGCGACAGAAGGAGCTGGAGCTCTACCTGCAGACACTGCTACAGCAGTTCCCACAGGCCACACCCGCTCCGCTCGCCTGCTTCTTGCACTTTCACCTCTATGTGAGTACACCTGAGGCACATGCACAGTAACCTGTTCAGGTGCTTCAGACTTATGGTGCCGCACCTGATAGTACTCAGGCTGCGGGTACTAGTATGTGGACTTGTGAGCATTGCAGCTCTATGATGCAGTTGAACATGTGATTTGACACCATAAGCATTCATCTGCTGCTATAACCTGGCTGCAGGGATCTGCTCCCATTCAGCCACAAGAGTATTAATGAGGTCCAGCACTGATGTTGGTGATGAGGTCTGGTTCACAGCTGGCATTCCAGTTCATCCCAAAGGTTTAGAGTGGGGTTGCGGTCAGGGCTCTGTGCAGGCCAGACAACTTCTTCCACTCCAAACTGGGAAAGCATTTTTTTATGGATCTGGCTTTGTGCATGGCAGGCGTCGTCATGTTGAAACATGAAACAAACTTCACCAAACAACACAACAGTTTAATAGGTTCCTGTTAATCTCCAGTTATTAATTATTGGTCTTCTATAAAGCTGGAGGACTTTATAAAGTAAAGATGCCAACCATTCTCTGGTTGCTGCTTCTCCAGTGTGAGGATTTGCTGCTTGTCTGTGTTGTTTATAATTGTAAACTGAATGTCTTTTGATTTTGAAATGATGGTCTGAGAAAAAGAGCAACTTGAAATTGTCAGCTCTGGAAAATTGTGAATTTTGTTCACTGTTTTCAGACGTTTTATAGATAAAACATTTAGTAATTGAAAAGATAATTGTGAGATAAACTCAACATGTGTATCAAGATAAAAATCTCGTCTGGTAATTGGCTGCTCTCTTTTTTTAAAATGCTGTGACACAACCTTTTGCACTAAAACCAGATACAAAAGGTTTTTATTTCACTTGTCTCAGTTGTGTCTCAACTTGTTGTGTTCTGGTTCTTAACACAGTGGTCATGTCAAAAATTGCTGATTGGCTGAAAACTGTTTGGTGTGTCATAGGATAAAATATAATGAGAGTGTGTAAATGGTGATTATTTCAGAGGTTGAGAAGCTCTGCTGGAGGCTGGTGTTAGCAGCAGTTTAAGGCTTTGTGATGTCAGTGACAGTGGTCATATGATGTCAGTACAACAACAGAGCAGTGTTGTTTGAGCCCTCAGGACTCTGCAGAGTAAACAGCAGACAGAGAAACCCTCTCATGTGAGGAGAGATGGTCACCATGTGACTGCCACAGATGATTTTAGAAAAGAGTTTAATTGCTGTTTATTATCAAGCTGCATTAATGCTGCACATAACTGCTGTATATGTAACTGTGGTGGAAACAACTGAAACATGATGTTCACTGTGTGAGGTGAGCTTCAGGCCTCTGCAAGTGTTGCTTAGTTCTTCAAATCTAGTTTAACTTATCCAGGCTAGCATGACATTATCCAGCTAAATACACACACCGGCCACTTTATTAGGTACACCTTGCTAGTACTGGATTGGACTTCCTTTTGCATACAAGACTGCCTTAATTCTTTGTGACATAGATTCAAGAAAGTGCTGGAAACATTCCTCAGAGATTTTGGTCCATATTGACATGAGAGAACCACATCCCAAAGGTGCTCTACTGGACTGAGATCTGGTGAGTGTGGAGGCCGTTGGAGTACAGTGAAGTCATTGTCATGTTCAAGAAACCAGTTTGAGATGGTGTGTTATCCTGCTGGAAGTAGTATGGACATGGTCAGCAGCAAAACTCAGGTAGGCTGTGGTGTTTAAACCATGCTCAGTTGGTACTAAGGGGCCCAAAATGTGCCAAGAAAATCTCCCCCACACCATTACACCACCACCAGCAGCCTGAACTGTTGATACAAGGCAGGATGGATCCATGCTTTCATGTTGTTTACACCAAACTCTGACCCTACCATCTGAATGTGGCAGCAGAAATCCAGACTCATCAGACCAGGCAACGTTTTTCCAATCTTCTATTGTCCAGTTTTGGTGAGCCTGTGTGAATTGTAGCCTCACTTTCCTGTTGTTAGCTGACAGGAGTGGCACCTGGTGTGGTCTTCTGCTGCTGTAGCCCATCTGCTTCAAGGTCGGACGTGTTGTTGGTTCAGAGATGGTCTTCTGCAGACCTTGGTTGTAACCAGTGGTTATTTGAGTTACTGTTGCCTTTCTATCATCTTGAACCAGTCTGGCCATTCTCCTCTGACCTCAGAGAACTGCTACTTACTGGAGGAGCAGTTTAACAGATGTACCTAATAAAGTGCCTGGCGAGTGTATGTAGATAAGAGGTTTGATGTGTCAATTTTCTATGAAGCTACGCTGACAAAACAGTGTGTTCAAAACATTTATCAAGAAAGGCAACAGCAAACATCAGTAGAGAGTACAAACCATGTCCAGCTGTCTGCCGAGCAGGAAGGGATTCCAGTTTTTAACAAACTCCTTGTCTCTTTCAGGAAATCAACGGCATCACAGCAGCTCTGGCTGAAGAGTTGTTCCATAAAGGTTAGCTTCCTTCCTGACCTTTGACCTTTCCCCCTTCATCTAGTGTTTCTGCAACTGTGTTAACAATTAAGGAAATTCCATCAGTGGAGTTGTGTGTTTCCACCCTGTGTAGCTCCCTGTAGTTGTCACTTATAGCCGTTATAAAACACTAACTGTTGTTGAATTTAAGATATAAAATGCAGTAAACTAGAATGCTTCGACACTCTGAATTTACTGTACTTCATTAATCAGGGACAGTACACATTAATTGACATAATATAGATGTAAATGTGGCAGATTTTAGTGAAATGGATTATTTTAATCCACAATTATAAAACCTGAGGTTACCCTTTGATTGCACAATGACATAATGTAAAACAGTAGCCTGTTAAGTTTAATGTGTTTCATTTTTTGGTCACTTAAAGTCTCAAAATATCTCAATACTACTTTTAATAGTTTGTGATCTGTCCCAGCTGAATCATGTGACTCTGAGCTGCTGCACTGACGCAGTTTTTCAAAAGAATCATCGAAGTTTTATCTCCTCCTGGTTTGTGTTGTAGGTGAGCAGCTGCTGCAGGCCGGCGAGGTGTTTTCTCTCCGTCCTCTGCAGCTTTACTCCGTCTCCCAGCAGCTACGTCTGGCCAAGCCAACCTGCTGTAACGGAGACGCCAAAACCGACCTGGGACACATCCTCGACTTCACCTGCAGGCTGCGATACCTCAAGGTCACACACCTCTAAATTTAGCTCAGAATCCCCATCGTACAGTGAAGTGTTGTGGTGGTGAATGTTCTCACTGAGTTTGTCTCTGTTGGTCAGATGTGTGGCACCAGAGGTCCAGTAGGAACCAGTAACATCCAGGAGAGCACGCTCCCCTTCGACTTGTCAGTGTTCAAATCACTGCTGCAGATAGAGGTAACTGTCTGTCTGTGTCTCTGTCTGTCTCTCCTAGAAATACTCTTGTTTATACACATGTAGAATCAATGGGTAAGCCCATTCATAACAGAATATGTTCCCAGGTTAGAACCTGGTGACACCAGTTAGTAGCATATTCAATTCACTTCAGTTCAATTTTATTTCTAAAGCCCAATATCACAAATCACAATTTGCCTCAGAGGGCTTTACAGCATACAACATCCCTCTGTCCATGGACCCTCACAGCGGATATCACATTAGACACAGCAGGGTTACATACAATTGGATGCTGCGATTCAGCTATTATGATAACTAACTCAATTTTGGACTCTCAGCCTCTCTGTTGAATCAAAGGTCAGCACTGGTAATACTTTTTGTAACTGGTGTAAATTAGTTTGTCAAAGTTCACCAACACTGAACTCGTTTGCTCAGCTCTGTGTGGATCCACATCACCCCCTCAAGTAAATCTGCTGCTCCCTGCAATGAAATAAGTGTATTTTTGCCTGAAATTTGAGTGTCATTAATACCGGTGTGAGCTTAATCACACACAGACTCAGGTTTGCAGCGGTTTTACATCACTGGCATTGCTAAAAACAGGGGGCGGGGCGGCAGGAAATAGCATGGGTAGAGTTGTAAACGTTAATTGCAGCAGCTAACAGGCCACCAACCTCTTCCTAAAAACTTGTATTTCACATGGATGGGCAGGGTTTCACAGGACTCAGCAGCGCATGCTTTGGCAAGCTCGAAGTCTCAGCATACGAGACTTGAATTAAGCACATGAGTTAATTATTTTGGTTTGATAGAAATGAGTAGTTGGACTGAGCGGGCCAATATCAGCTATTTTTTTCTAAAGTCTGGAAAATTAGGCAGACTAAACTGAATAACACATTAGTATGAAGGTGTATAGAATATACTAATCATGTTTACTGTAACTTGAATGTTTGGTCTCACCTGTGTACATGGAAACTAATCATCGGCCTTGTAAGCCTGTTTGGGCATCTAGTGATGCAAGATAATGCACTGATATCCCCCATTTGAGTAGAATTTTGTTGTTGGACATAATTTAATCCATCTAAATGTCAATATATTTTAGCATTTAAAAGTTGTACATATTTTTCATATATCACATCATGATGGTTAGTTTGAGGATTTATCAACAGGTTAAAGTCATCTTTATTTTTTCGGAAATTCACTGAAAACCCAACAGGATCTGGGTGATAACTTCTGTCTCTCTGTCTGTCTTCAGATCAGTGAGTGCAGCTCTCAGCAGATTAGAGGTCTGTCGTCTCTGAGGGCGAGTCTCGCAACTCTGAGTATCCACCACTCCACAGAATCTATGATGGTACAGTTTAGATCAAATACTACTCTGTCGTTTACATGTTTATACAGTGTTTGATGTTGTGTACTGATGCTTGTGCTTTTTCCGGCATCCTCTAGTCGATCTTGGTCCCAGAGGCGTGCGAGTTCTCTCAGTGGGAGGCTGAGGGGGTGGAGTCTGGCTGTCCTGTCACCGCTGTCATCCCCGTGTGGAGAAACCTGACCACACTGGACATGAGTCACAACAGCATCAGCGCCATCGACAACTCAGTGGTGAGATGCGCCCACCAAACCTAAACACACTGTAAACTTTGATAATGGTGTTTAAAAGTCAGTTCCAGTATTTGATTTTTTTTTTTCACAGTGAAATTAGGGGAAGAAATTCTGACAGAACCTGGTCCATTACATACAATATCTCAGATGTTGATTTGATACAGTCATGCTGGCTCAGTAGCTGTTGTATCAGGAGGACAGGTTCTTGATAGCTCTGTCTTGACATGGGGCTAAAAATTAAAAGCTGGGTGTGTAAATAAAGGACAGTTTAGGTTCAATACACCAGGTGGTGTGAACTTACTCTGAGTTTTTGTCTGTTGTAGAAACTGATTCCTAAGGTGGAATTTCTGGATCTGAGCCACAACCAGCTGTCAACGGTGGAAAACCTCCAGGTGCGTGACAGCGTGATGAAGGACATGAAAACACACATTAAACTTCTGAGATTAAATGTGCAACTAAATAGTTGCAATTAAGCAGTTAGTGTTGGCTTTACACTCAAACTTAGGATCAAACTTACGCTCAGCTGCTGCATCAGCCAGCTGGTCCTATTAGACACACCTACAGAAGTGTAGTTTGTCATTAACAGTAAGATTGAAGTAACTGTCTTGTGGTTGCAGCACCTGTACAATCTGGTCCACGTGGATCTGTCCTATAACAACCTGCGGGTTCTGGAAGCTGCTCACACTCGTCTGGGCAACATCAAAACCTTGAGCCTGGCTGGCAACCACCTGGACCAACTGACCGGCCTCACCAAGCTCTACTCACTGGTCAACCTTGACCTCAGCCACAACCAGCTGGCTCAGGTAATCACACTGCTGACGTCGTGATGCAGGGGTGGAGCAGTGATTTTAAATGTGGGGGTGTTCCAGGGGTGGCACATGAGCACCACATCCTGCCTGCCTTTGGCTGTTTCCCTCTCCAAAATTAATGCTCCCAGACAGTATTCAGAGTTCTTCCAACATAGAGTCGGTCATTATGAACTGAGAGTCATTAATTATTATTCAGGCCAACCTGGAAAATCAGAATATGTGTGCTGAAAATTTCAGCATACATATTCATTCATGTGACATCATTTAATGATGTCACATGAATGGATTAAAAGTTATATGACTACAAAAACAAAAGAAAAAATTTAAAAAAATTAACCGGGAATTGAATTTCACAGAATTTTATTTTTAAACAACACACATATCAACAGGTATCAATTTATCTTTATTTTATCATGGAGGATTATTAGGCTATTCCTTTCTTTTCAATTCTGGCAGAAAACTATCTTGCCTCAAGTTGATCTTTGGCTGCTCCTGATTGGATGCTACCGTCAAAAAACAAAAGAAGAAGAAATAGTAGCATCTGATTGGTCAAGAGACTGACCAGAAGTCGTCATTGCCCATAGACTGTTTATAAAAAAGGTCAAGCCTCACAATGGAGGTACGGTATCATAATTTACACGTTTTTAATCACAAAATGTAATATTTAATTACTATCGCGGAGTTATCACGGTGGATTTACTGTAACCTAGGCTACGAGGTTCTTGGGAGAGAAAAAAAAACCTCTGCACTTAACGGCTGGATTGAAAACTTTCTCGAAAAGATTGTCCTGAGCCCACCGTAGATCGCCAAAAGAGTAAGCTTCTGATCACAGTTTTCCCCATTAAGTTCCTTTGTGTGGTGTGGTGCGGGCTGCGGGGGAGAGCAGGGTCTCCGCCGACAGAGAGATGATGTTGATTTGAGGGGGTGGCGGAGAGCCAGTTTCCTCTGCATTCACTTACATGACAACTTGACTTGAAAAAGAAGTCAGTTTTCTGCTGCTGCCTCTTCCTTTTGGCATCTCTGCCTCCTTCTTCTCTCTGTTGTGTGTCAGTGTTGTTCAATGTCAGCCATCGGTGAGTGACAGAAGCTCCGACTGATGTAACTTCAAATTTTGCAGGTCGCGGACAACAGTCTGTGATTGGGTGAATGTCTGTTCAATTTGACCAATGCCTTTTCATGCAGCATGGGGGGGGGGTGCACCAGCATACAAAAATGCGCTCCATTTTTGTATGCTGGTGCACTGCCAGGGTGGGCAAACGGGTTTACCTTTGGAAAATGTGGGGGGGGTGAAAATGTGGGGGGGATGAAATCATCTTGCTGTAAAAGTGGGGGTGTCAAAACACCCCCATCCCCCACGGGTGCGACGCCCCTGTCCTGATGGTCCAGTGGTCAAAGTGACATAGATACATTATGGAAATATGTGCAAAGGATAAGTTTCCTGCATAGTTTTTGCATTAAAATTGAAAAAAAAAGAAATAAAATTGATCACTTACAAAATGTGTTAAATATGTGATTACCAAAATAGAAAGAAATTGATAAATACAAGTATTAGTGAAATTACCAGCAAGTAGCTGTAATTGATCATCCATATTATCCTTAACTCTCCTGATTTTCTGTCATCTCTTGACTGTCCACTCTCCAGTGCAAGCTGTGTAGAAAAACATCCAACTGTAGCTTAGTGAAAAAAATGGATTAACAATGGAGTCAGTGTAAGGGTGGTGTGGTTTGTTTGTGACTTGTGTGTGTTTGTTTCCAGTTGGAGGAGATCCGGAACATCGGCTCTCTGCCCTGTCTGGAGAAACTCAACCTGTCCAGTAACCCCATGTGCATCATCCCAGACTACAGAACCAAAGTGCTGGCCCAGTTTGGAGACCGTGCAGCAGAGGTAGATCACCAAAACCACCACAATGTCAATATTACTACTGTCCTCGCACTACTACTTCTATAGCAGCCAACAGCACAAAAAGGGTTTACTTGCTATACTCTTGCTATAGTCTTGTATAGCCAGACTCCTCTCACACTGTGCCAGGGCTGGATGAAGGGAAAGAAGGGGAAAGAATGTTCTGGGATGTTTTGTATTTATTTTAACCAATAATAGTCATCTTGGGTGGCGCTAAGCCCAGGAGGCAATGACTGACAGTATGACTGCTGCAACTGTTTGTTTATCCTTCTACAGCAACTGTTGTTAATACTCTTGATTCTACTTCCTGTTTATCCTTTGTCTCTGCGTCCTCAGGTTTGTCTGGACGGTAAAGTGACGACAGAGAAGGAGCTGGACACAGTGGAAGTGCTGAAAGCCATTCAGAAAGCCAAAGAAGTCAAAGACAGGATGAGCAGCGGTGACAAGAAGGTACGATGTGTCGCACTGAATCATACATCAGGAGGCCGAATCGGACATGCTGAGACCAGTTTACATGGTTTAATATGTATCAGTTATATTGACCTTCATTTTGCACTTCAAAGATTATTACATTTTGTGTATATTTATTTTTATATTTGAATATTACATTGCAACATTATCAGTATTAGAGGAAAGTAACTCAAACTGTGCACTGATTTGACTCCTCTAAGACTCTGACCTTTGAACTCTCATGAGTCAATCTTGATCTCAAACCAGAGTTGAATGTTACATCTTTTGTAGTTGTACCCTGTAACTGTAGCTTTATAATGAATTAACCCTTTTGTAGAGGTTTTATAATTCTTACCTGATTGTAGACCGATTAGAGATCACCACCATTAGATGTGACTAATAATGAGGTTAATTACTAACAGATCTCTGAGGCCTGAAGACTGTGCACATCAGCAGCAGAGTTAAGATGTCATACAAATATCCTATGAATCAAAGAAGTATAAAAACAAACATGATGGTGAAAGTGTGTGAGGTTGTAATCTTATTTATTGTAAAAAAAAAAACAAAAAAAAAAAACACAACTACGTGAATTCATCTGTGAAGTTCATTAGCTAAAGCTCTCTGATATATAGCACAGAGAATTATAAGAAATAAGAAGTATGAAAATAAGAGGTATATAGAAATGTGTGCATTATGCTACAGTGTTAAACACAATTATGGAAAGTAGGGGTGGACGATATTGCCCTAAAAATAATATCAGGGCTCGACAGTGCGAGCGTTTCACTCGCATTTGCGACTAAAAATAGGTGTGTGCGAACTGTAAAAAATATTTAAGGGCCCATGTGCGCATAAAAAAATCAGCCGAAGCAGCCTATGTTTTTGTCAATAAAAAAATATGATAATCTAACCGCAAATGTTGGAGGAACCCCAGCCGCCTTCCCTCTTCCCCATGTGACACGGTTATGGGCGGTTTTCCAAGCCACTGTCGGCACAATGAATATAAGTCCCACTGTCGGCAGCGTGGAAATAAGTCAAAGTGTAGAGGAGACGGACCGGATTAAGCGGCGGACCTCCGGGGAAGCCTGCTCCGTTCTCCCCGCAGTTAGAGACCGTTCTCCACGGCCAGGCTGTCAGCTGGGTGGGAATAAGTCAAAGTGTGGCGGAGAAGAGGGACCGGGAAAAGCGGCGGACCTCCAGGGAAGCCTGCTCCGTTCTCCCAGCAGTTAGGGACCGTTCACCACGGTACCGCTGCTGGACAGGGTGAAAATAAGACCTGCAGAGTTTCAGAGGACCTGGAGAATGTTTTAGGATAGTAATAACATTATATAAGATAATCATATTGCAAAGATAATGTATATAAGATAACATTAAAGACAAAATTAAATTGCAATACTTTTTCAAAAGTTGATGATTTTACCTTTCTGTACATTTTGTATACAAATTCATTAAATAATTTTGCCTGTAAATGTCTATTTGCATCACGTTTATTACGGAAAACACATTATTTGATCAATTTACATTGTGCCCCTAAGTTCTTTGTGCGCTCCTTACTTTTTCAACTTAGGAGCACATGTGCTCCTTGGGAAAAAAGTTAGCGTCAAGCCCTGAATATCATGATATTTCAGGGATCTCTGCGATAATGATATTGTTGACGATAAGACAAATTAGTAAAATAAAAAGTATTATTAATTTAAGACCATAGAGTTAATGATCAATTTTTACAGTTTGCCTTCAGATATTCAGTAAAAACTAAAGAAAAACGATCACTCATTTCTTTAGTTTGTGATCAACAACAGTAACTCAGGGTGAGATTCAGATCCTGTATACAATATTAGTAGTACCACAAATTACACATTTAAACAGTTCACAAATACAAAAATTGTCCCCTGGGATCTATATATATAAATCAACAGGTGATTTCCTTCTTTTAGTAAAATCCTAAATGATTGATTTGTTTGTTTTCCACCTGGACCTTTATGCTCTGCCAGTTCTCCTCTAATCATCACGCTGTAACCTGTGACAGGCTGTTATGATACCACAGCTATCGCACATTCACATATATGGAGATTTTGTCAAGCTGAGTATCACGTAGGTTTACATTACCAGAGGTTTATGACAAAATCACTTGACGACACCGACTCCTGTGTGCGCACGGCGAGAGAGGAGAGGGAGAGACACTGTACTACTGCCAGAGGAGCCGCTGACTGAGTTCCCTCTGAACAGTAACTCACCAAAAGAGTCTGAGAAGTCTGGGGCTGTTCATAAAACATTCAGGACGCCACAGTTTATTCCACACTACTGAAGCTGCTTCTCTTTTTGGAACCACCACAGAGTATGTAATAATTTCGCTTGTTGTCGCCGTGGGTAACAGTATGATGTCAATATGTCAACAATTGAAATAAGGCAAGTATCACAATATGAATTTTTCATGTGATATTAAAAAATATACCAGTATTATTGTGAACAAGATGATATGGCACACATGTAAAGTAAAGTATTTGAAAATTAAAAATACGTACGTGATGCTGCACAACACAAAACAACATATAAATAGAAATAGAAAAACAAGAATAAGAAATGTGTGCAATAAGTGCATCATGTTAAACATTGAAGACTATTGTAAGAAAGAACAAATTAGGATACTGAAAAGAATATTTCACAGTTGAATAACTGCACAAAGTATTGCAGCAGGACACATTTAGCTCTTGAACTTCACAGTTTGATGATAGACTACTGCATCAATGGCTAAAAACAAGTCATAAGATGTGTTTGAAGACCCTGACAGACTGTTTCTCTGCTGCTGATGGAGCTGCTGGTTGCTGGTTTTAGGATTTGATCTGGTTGATGATGTAGGTGACTGCTCCTCTCTGAAGGCTTCCTCCTCTCTGTCCTCTCGTCAGATCAGTGAGGAGACCAGGCTGTCTGCTGCTGCACCTCCTCACCTCTCCTCCTCCTCTCCCCCCTCCTCTTCCTCCTGCTGCTCCTCTACTGTTGCTCCTCCTGCTGTCACCTCCTCCTCCTCTTCCTCTTCCTCCTCTTCCTGTCCGGCCTCGCAGGCTGTCTGCCCCAGCCAAGGTAATCATGTATGTATCAGGCTGTGCAGGGCTGAGGGAGGGGAGGGCGGTGGTTTTTATTTCCAGACAAACGAGAAGGTTCCTCTGCTCTTTGTCTGGAAAGTGGCAACTCCCAAAAACAGCAGCTGACTGTTACTGGTGCCGCACCTATAAATTAAATTGCCTGTTGTTTAGTCAGTAAAATGTCATCGGCTGACGAAGCTACCCAGAGGAAAAATTCAAAATAAGATCTCTTCTTTGTCCAGCCTGTTTCTCTGCGACATAACTCAGCTCAGTATAACATCAATATGAGATTCTGAGTTCTCTCATACTTGTTAAATTCAACTCCTGAGAAATAGCCTTCCTCTTCTCAGCCGGATCCTAATTTAAGATCTTAAAATGCTCTTTTTCCTCTCTCACTGCAGCTATCCTCATTTGTCTGAAATAATCAGCTTTTAGATAACAGTTAGATCCAAGAGAAAACTTGACTTGGCTTATAAATGAGCCTGCACAATTTCAGAATGATCAAATTCAAGTTTGGACTCTGTGTATTTTATCTGTTCTCAGAGTCGAGAAACCTCTGAGAAGCCTGTGAGCACAGCAAAAGAGCTCCTGACGAGGGGATGTTTAGGAGAAACAGATCAGAATTTGGTAATCTCTAAATAAGAAGCTGATTTATTTCTGATGAGACAAAAAAGACTTTTGTGAGCAGCAAAATTTTCCTCTGGGTACCGTGCTGCTGTCACTTCTGATGGAGAACATCTTGTATTAAACAGGATAGTCGCAGCTTTATATTTCCTGTTGTCGATGCTTTGCTTTCTGCTCAGACTGAGAGTCTTTTATAACATTAAAATTCAACCTGTTGAATCAGCTGCTCATACTCTGCCTCATAACATAAATATTGGCCAAGTTAACATTTACTAATTACACAGGTTGAACCGGCCTCATTAATTCTTATGAAAAATGTACCTGTAACACCAACTATTACAACAATGCATACTTATCAACTGTTTCCCTGATTGGAAAAACTACTGAGCCAATTATGAGAGGGGGATGTCATCATCTTCATGTCCATAGTCAGAAACATGGGCTGTGTTGCGAATTCATAGTACGTACTGTTGTATGGACTGCACCACTTCATGATAACATTGCGCTGTGACTTTTGACCCCCTTGCTCATATATCTGTCACAGTCTGTAGCACAAAATTAACTTACAGTACAGGCCAAAAGTTTGGACACACCTTCTCATTCAATGCGTTTTCTTTATTTTCATGACTATTTACATTGTAGATTCTCACTGAAGGCATCAAAACTATGAATGAACACATGTGGAGTTATGTACTTAACAAAAAAAGGTGAAATAACTGAAAACATGTTTTATATTCTAGTTTCTTCAAAATAGCCACCCTTTGCTCTGATTACTGCTTTGCACACTCTTGGCATTCTCTCCATGAGCTTCAAGAGGTAGTCACCTGAAATGGTTTCCACTTCACAGGTGTGCCTTATCAGGGTTAATTAGTGGAATTTCTTGCTTTATCAATGGGGTTGGGACCATCAGTTGTGTTGTGCAGAAGTCAGGTTAATACACAGCCGACAGCCCTATTGGACAACTGTTAAAATTCATATTATGGCAAGAACCAATCAGCTAACTAAAGAAAAACGAGTGGCCATCATTACTTTAAGAAATGAAGGTCAGTCAGTCCGGAAAATTGCAAAAACTTTAAATGTGTCCCCAAGTGGAGTCGCAAAAACCATCAAGCGCTACAACGAAACTGGCACACATGAGGACCGACCCAGGAAAGGAAGACCAAGAGTCACCTCTGCTTCTGAGGATAAGTTCATCCGAGTCACCAGCCTCAGAAATCGCAAGTTAACAGCAGCTCAGATCAGAGACCAGATGAATGCCACACAGAGTTCTAGCAGCAGACCCATCTCTAGAACAACTGTTAAGAGGAGACTGCGCCAATCAGGCCTTCATGGTCAAATAGCTGCTAGGAAACCACTGCTAAGGAGAGGCAACAAGCAGAAGAGATTTGTTTGGGCCAAGAAACACAAGGAATGGACATTAGACCAGTGGAAATCTGTGCTTTGGTCTGATGAGTCCAAATTTGAGATCTTTGGTTCCAACCGCCGTGTCTTTGTGAGACGCAGAAAAGGTGAACGGATGGATTCCACATGCCTGGTTCCCACTGTGAAGCATGGAGGAGGAGGTGTGATGGTGTGGGGGTGTTTTGCTGGTGACACTGTTGGGGATTTATTCAAAATTGAAGGCACACTGAACCAGCATGGCTACCACAGCATCCTGCAGCGACATGCCATCCCATCCGGTTTGCGTTTAGTTGGACGATCATTTATTTTTCAACAGGACAATGACCCCAAACACACCTCCAGGCTGTGTAAGGGCTATTTGACCAAGAAGGAGAGTGATGGAGTGCTGCGGCAGATGACCTGGCCTCCACAGTCACCGGACCTGAACCCAATCGAGATGGTTTGGGGTGAGCTGGACCGCAGAGTGAAGGCAAAGGGGCCAACAAGTGCTAAACACCTCTGGGAACTCCTTCAAGACTGTTGGAAAACCATTTCAGGTGACTACCTCTTGAAGCTCATGGAGAGAATGCCAAGAGTGTGCAAAGCAGTAATCAGAGCAAAGGGTGGCTATTTTGAAGAAACTAGAATATAAAACATGTTTTCAGTTATTTCACCTTTTTTTGTTAAGTACATAACTCCACATGTGTTCATTCATAGTTTTGATGCCTTCAGTGAGAATCTACAATGTAAATAGTCATGAAAATAAAGAAAATGCATTGAATGAGAAGGTGTGTCCAAACTTTTGGCCTGTACTGTATATGTATGTTTTTTTTAACATATTTTTATTATATATATAAATAGGTATAGGTAAGAGTGGAATACTGTGAAACCTTAATATTTACTGAGACGGTGATTGTACCGTGAATATTTCATACCATTGCAACCCTTGTACTGACTGGTGACTGATATTGACTAAGGGACTCTTAATTGGTGCAAAAAGGGGGAGGCATGTGAAATTATTTTTTAAGCATTAGGAAGTGACTTATGTCTTGTATTTTGTCTTAGGGGAGGGGCAAACAAATTTAAATGATTGTATTTTGCATTTAGCCGAAAGCCAAAATAGCCAAAATTACACCATTTGTCATATCCAGTAAGTGTAAAAACAGAAATTATCGTTGGTTTTTCAACTTTTCAACAGTCCTCGGACACATCATGTGTGACGAATGCTTCCATCAGAAAAAAAAAAATTAAAAATCGGAGTTGAAAATAGTGATAGTACATCCAAATCTTTTTCTCCTATGTCTCATCTAAACTTTGGCCAAAAATAAACCATTTGGACGAACTAACCAGCAGCACGACAAGAGTGTAAAACCAAGGCTTTTCCAGGATTCCAGGACTCCAGGATTTCGTTTTCAACTTGTAACTTTTAACTTTTAAACAACAAAGGGTACGTTTTAAAAATCTAACAACAAATTTATGGTGGAGGGAAGGTCATGCATTGTTTGCCAGTCACTCAGGGAGTTTCAAAGAAAAATATTTGTAGCTTCAGGGATTAAAAACAAAAAAAAACCCAAAGTCACACCTCAGCCACCTCCCTCCTCTGATAAGTAAAGAACAGTCCGTAATGTTTGCCCGGAGGTTGTGTTACATCCTGCTAACGCTCACTGACCTCCTTCTGTGACACTAATATTTGCTCTGGCTCAGTGCAGGCTGCAAACTGTGAATGTCTGAATCTAACAGTATGAACCAGATGCACGTTGGTGTTTTTTATGCTTGCCCAGTGAAACAGAGTTTGACTGTTTTGTGGCATTAATGTTTCTTTTTTCATGATATTTGAAAATTGTATCTGATTCAAACTCTGCACGTTGCCCAAAAACATATTTCTGTCAGAACTGAGAATGCATGAAAATGTTTTCGACTGAAGCTTAGAGCAGCCACCAGTGTCAATGATTTTTAAGGCCATCATAGAGTTGCAACTAACGATTATTTTCTCACATAATCGATTAGTGTTTGGTCTTTATTTGCCCGACAAACAATCCAAAACCTCAAGATATTTAATCAACTCATATCATAACTGCAGCATCATTCTGAACACAGTTCAGTTTTATTTAGGTAAAACTTTGTCAACACTTGAAATTATTCCTCACAGAGATGGTCATATTTAACGATGTCAGGCCATGGCACAAAATTATCGTCAGAATCAATCCAAAATTATCAGCACTGAACGGTGTTACATCAGTCAAACTTTGCAGAGCGTGCTCTCCTCTCCTCACAGCATCGCTGATCTGTTTGGTTTCCTGTTTCAGAGGTGACGAGCAGAGAAGAAGCCGCAGCTCCCCCCTGTGTTCTCCCCCCTGTGGACGCTGCACCCCCCCCTGCAAGCTTTAACACTGATACACCCATCCTATCTGCTCACCCCGCCCAGGTCAGACACCCACCTGATACACCAGGGCAGGAAGGCATATGTTACCGTGACAACCAGCAGGGTATCAGTTACAAAGAGAGAGGCAGTTTGATTGTTTATAGATCTGTAAAGGAATAATTATGTGACAACAAATTAAACAAAGGACTTAGATTAGGAGTTTAACAGCTGTTCAATATGTATTGCTACAAAAATAATATGTGTTGTAAAGAATGTTTAGATGTTTGTGTTTGTCTCAGCTGGGCTCTGATGTTGCTTGATGTGTATTTCTGCAGGTACAACAACTTGCTGTCAGTCTGTCTGAACACTGTGGATCTCCTACAACCATTACTACTACTACTACTACTTCTTCTACAAATTCTGTCTGGTCAGTATCAAATAGCATCAATTTACCATAATTTAAATTAACAACTCTAAATTATTGTTTGTGCTTTACTTAAAATGCTTTTTTTTTATTGCAGTTAAAGGGTAAATTTGCCATCTTTTATGGATGTCCGTTCAGTTTTGATGGTAAAGTAGTCAATGGAAGCAGTGAATTCCTCAGTGTGGGCTTAATTTATGGAGAAAGCGGAGTTCTCTGCTTGTGGAGCTGTGCCAGCAGTGCCTACATATATCAGTATGCATTGCTCATGAGCTTCTGGCGTAAAAAGAGGTAACAAAATAAAAGCGAGGAGACTCCGCACTTTGAACCAGCTTGAGCAAAGATGCCAACACTCCATATTAATTTTCACATTGTCTAAAGCAGTGCATTACTGCTTCACTCCCTCTGATTTCTTACCTGTTACATTAAAAGTCCAACTTATTAAAAAAAACAGAGCTTTTTGCTAAGAGGCAACGCAACCAAACATCTTACAATAAGGTTAGGAGACAAAGCACACCTCTGTCCAAGTGAGGAGTAAAACTTTAATGCAAAGTAACGCACACATTCCCAGGTCTCTCCCAGCATCGCAGACAGCATCCAACAAAAACTTCCCACACTCAAATTCAGTGCAGTGTAATGATTCAGTTTCTGTTGGCCTTGGGGGGTCTGGAGGATCCCCGTCGGCGATACCCTCTTGCATGGCTAATGCAGCCGCAGCCTCGGGCTCTCTCAGCTGAATTTCTTAAGCCGTACATTCTGGCTCAAATAAATACGTCTGAATATCCGAGTCAGGCGAAATACTGTGAATAACATCCTCTGCACTCATATCTTGGGATGACATTTTTGCTGTTGGAAACAAGTAAATTCTGCTTTAAAATGGTACCTAGAGCATGTCCTCGGGCTACCTCAAGGCAAAATCCAGCCAGTATTTTCTTCCTGCATTCAGCCATGTCACTGTCTGTGTACGTGCTGTCTACTACATATTCAATCTGGATGTCTTAAACAATTAAGTATGACAGTGCTGCTTCTTTAGATAAGCTACTGCTGGTGAGTGTTGCGCTTTTGTCACCGGTAAGCTTGTGTTAACTGTGTAGACAAGCCCTTAGGGACACATCTTCCTCATCATCCTCGGGTGTTTCGGCCTTGTACTTACAATACACCCTTAGCTGAGACAGGCCCACTGCAGGGTGATCAGTCCTGGGTGTTTGTCCCACAGCCAATTACTGGCAAATCTAGGTGCTGAGTCCAGATGAGGTTCGTCCTTTAATCTATAGCCAATGACTTCAGCAGCCTCAGCTATTTCCTTGATTGCTCTCCTGCTGGCCTGCCGTCTGATTCCCAGCTCTCTCAGGAGCTTTGTTGTGGAGTTGGCCACAAATCCCCTGCATCCGACTTCCACTGGGCGCAACTCGACCTTCAAGCTTCAGCTTTCTGCTTCTGCTGCAGGTTTAGCATATTGCAGCTTCTTCTCCTCAAGTGCCTCATCGACAGCATCCTCCTAAGGTACTGTTAGCTCAGTGATGAAGACACACCACTGGACTTTAGACCAGAGTACAAGATTTGGTCTCAGGCTGGTGAAGGTGAATTCTGGGGGAAAGACAAGTTTCTGGCCAAGGTCAACCAGCTACTTCCAGTCCCTGGCTGCACTCTTTGAAGTTGCTTTAAAGGACATGGAGGTTGCTTTCCTGTTTTTCCCTTGTGGAGAAAGTATATTGGATGTGGGAGGGTTGACCGGACATTCGGAGGTGAAGCGGTTGATGTTCTTTTCTCCTCAGTTCCAGGTTGTTGTTCAGGCCTCTCTCCTGCCAACAGAGTCTGCAGGTAGTCACGATAGAGGCAGGTGTAGTTCAGTATGCATCCAGCAGGAGGTGCAGCTGCTCCTCCTCCTCCTAAATCTCTGACTGAAAGCAAAAAGAAATAAAATTAGTAACATTAAAGCCTCATTTTGTTTAAAGGTTGAAGGTGCAGCTGGTTGAATAATGGCAGGTGTGTCAATTAATATGAGCTGATAGGACGACTGAAGTGAGTGAATGTCATGTGATGAAGTCATATTTTAACAGGTGTATCTTCTGTGTTCATGACATAATGGAAAATAAAAATAAAAATCTCTACCTCTGTTTCTTTCTCTTCTCCAGTTGTGTCTGCTCCTGTTCCTCCTCCATGCCAGTTGAAACCACCTGCGTCTCCTGCAGCGTAGCCCGGTGTCCCCTGCTTCCTTCTCACCTGCTCTCCCTTTCCTCCTTCAACAAAGACTTCATTACCCAGCTCTCCCAGCATCTCAGCTCCATCCTGAAAGAGCAAAAAGGGAAGGAGGAGGAGGAAGAGAAGGAGGAGGAGAGGGAGGAAGAGAAGAGGTCTGAAACCAAAGAGGTTCAGTCCCATGTGGAGCACACCGAGTTGAGAAGTTCCAGGTAATTCAACAAGCATCGTCCTCTCACTGGTTTCTGAGATCCCCTAAAAGTACCTCTGGTTAAGTGACTTCCAAAAGTTCCTGCTGGCTTTTGGGTTTCTCAGTTGTTCCTCAGGTTTCCTAAAGTTCCCACTGGATTATGGGATTTCCATCGGGGATGAGCACGAAGGTTAATTTGTTACAAACTGAGAGAGCTTTCAGACTTGGTTCAGTTAATTTCAGTTCATCACACATTACCATTATTGTTCCGTTTCCAGTGTGTAAAGTTGGTGATGGTGCCAATAGAACTGTCCCCATTTTAGGTCCCCCCTCTGTTGGGGTACCTAGCACAAAGATCCGATACTAAAAGGTGAAGCTAGAAACATTGCAATCCGTCAATCGATCAATAGAAAACCATCACTCTTGCTCAGGGCTGAGTTGTGGCTGGTTTTGTAACCACTGTTCATACTGTGGCAAGTTTTACATGTTATAAAGCTAAAACTATAAAATGAAAGGATGTTTTGCTGCCTGTAGCAGCAGCAGCTGTAGTCTCAGAAAAAAATGATTTAATTCATTATGCCAACTGCCAGCGTCACCGTTGAGTTGGCATAAATGAGTCAACACACCTGAAATGTCAGTGACAACTTTGACCATTCCGTTATGTTTTTTTTTTTGTCTCTCTTAGATAACATGAACTTTAGTGATGATTGGATCTTAATGTTTGTAGCATTTAAAATGTATATGAATTTCAGTTGGTATATATCTAATCCTCACTCGGAGATAAACATGGCAAAGCATTGTTCAAATGCTCTTCGGCAGCACTACACCCCTGCTCTTGCTCGACAAGGATTCAATACATAGAACTGCTGTTTTTAAATATCCCATTGAGAGAGACTCTTACCCCAACCTGAACTTTTTGTTCTGAAAATGTCAGTGTGCTAACCCCCTAACGTGGACAATAAACAAGATGCAGACATTCCTCTGAATCACTGGTGAAGAGAAAATACAGTGAAAGCTGGTCGGAGCAGTGAATGACAATAACCCTGCCCACATTTTAAAGTACTGTCTACTGTCTAAATGGATCCAGGGTCTAGCTACATGTCCATTGGGGTTAGTTTTGGTTCTAACGCGGAAACGAGGCTTTGATGCAAGAACTTGTAGATTAATGTTTTGCAAAACTTGCACAGATAGCTGTGGAAGTGAGAGATAACAGTGCTAGAGGGGTGGGCAAGCCTGTCGGCATCTTTAGCATGATGAAAGACTCAACGGCTACGTTCCTATTGAAGCTGAACTCACGCCAGTCCTGTCAAATATGACTTTGCAACTCATTTATTGCAAGAAGTGTTACAAAAGACAGGGAACGCAGATTCGTCGCTTTGTGTTGCAAGAGAGCACATTAGTGAAGGTGCAGTGATTTGAGAGGTTGAAAAGACAAAGCTGTGGTTGTATTAGAAAATTAACTGCAGGAAAAACTATATATGAAAATATTGTATTACCAGTTCACACAGCTGATGTTGTATTATGTAAATGTCAGTCAACACATTTGTGAATATTTTTTTCTGAGACTTTACATTAGACATGGTTGAGTGAATATTTTCTAAGTAATGAGTCAATTTTTCAACTCACAAATTCAATTTTTTTCTACAAGCTCTCATATTCAGCTCATGTGTGAGAATATTTAGTTAGTTCAGTTTAATTAGTTCAGCTTTTTGCTCTACAAGCGTTAGCATTTTGGAACATTTACCATCATATCTGAGAGTATTAAAAATTCCTACTGGTGTCTGAGATCACCTTAAGGTCAGACTGGTCTCTGAGATCCCCTAAAATTCACACAGATTCTGAAATGATGATGATGATGATGATGATGGTGTGTCCAAACGAATACAAGTGTTTTTCTTGATTCATGTTTTATGCTCATTACTCCAGTCCAAGCTCCAGGGACGGTTACTTCGAGATGGGTCTGGATGACTCTGTTGAGGAGTCGGTCTGCTCCTCCTCCTCCTCCACATCGCTCGTTGTTCCTCCTGTAGAGGAGCCCGGTGGCCACCAGAGGGAGCTGTGTAAAGAGGAGGAGGAGGAGGAGGAGGAGGAGGAGGAGGAGGAAAATGAGGGGGAGGACGTGCAGGTTAGCAGGGTTCTGTGGTGCTACTGTCTTCAGGTGAAGGAGGAGGTGGAGCAGAGGGAGGTGGAGCAGAGGGAGGTGTGTCTGGTGCTGACGGACCGGGTGCTGGGCCTGCTGTACCTGTCAGATGATTTCACATGGACCAATCAGGACGCAGGTAAGCAGCACAGTCACGCTCAGGTGTTTTTATACTTTATCCAAACAAATATGGAAGCTGTGGCTCCTGCTCTTATTTTTCATGTTTGTTGGTATGAATTGTGTTTGGCTATCCGTCTTGGATTTAATAAATTAATTAAAGTTCATGTGAAAACTTCTGTAATGTTTCAGGATTATTATGTTAGCTGAGTAACTTTGCTGCTTGCAGTAACCGTTTTGGCCACATTCTTACATACAGCGCCTTTAACTAATTCTGAAAGTGGCCTTTGTTTGAGGACGAGTAACTAAAAGAAATTGTTGCAGCAAGTTGTGGACAATTTTTTCAACATCTTGTCCAAAATGATGAGACTTTTTGAAGTTCTGTGTTCTTCAAGACAGAAACAAATCTGACAGACACATTCATGACCACTGTTTAGTAACAGGAAGTGAAACTGAGCATGACTTGTGTTCAGACATTTCAGAAAATCTCGTGACATTTCTTCAAAAGGCGGGGGGGGCTTAAAGTGAAAGAAAATTGATAGCAAGGAATATAACATCGTGATGTGACTGTTGGCCTACACTCACTCCTCCCTGCTGCTGTTGTTGAACCAGAACGAGGAGGATGATGAAGAAGAAATGTATAAATTACACCTCAACACGCTCCTTTTGGTAATATAACCATAAATTTTGGCTAATGATAGTCAAACATATGTTTATGTCACCAAGTGCAGAATGTGTCATCAAACATATTTTCACGTAAAATAAATGATTATCATAACTGGGATTTGTGTTTGTTTAACTTCGGCCAATTAACCTAACGTTGAAGAAATGTTAACAGTCAAATCGTAAGGCCAAATTAACACCAACAACAGGACAAACACTAACTTGGTGGCCATTAATGGCCAATGTGAAGATGATTTTGTGGATGTTTTATACACCAACAGGTTATCCATAAATCTAGAAATTAATCAGAGGATTAATCAGTAATGGATGAAAACAAAGTTAGTAGCAGCTGTAATATACAGTCAGTTATGATTGGTGTGATAGAGCTGTTGTGCAGAAATGATTCTGCTGCATGCTGAAATATTAAAAGCGATCTGTTCTTCTGTTCTCAGATCAGGAGCAGAGTCCACCTGTGGAGGAGGTGCTGTCCAGCCTGCAGGTAGACCTCCTGCTGCCGTACTCCCAGCTCATGCTCTCCTCTCCAGGTGAGCTCCCTGACTCCTGCCTCGGACTCGGCCTTCGAGCCAGACCGACCCGCTGGTACATCTTCTCAGAGGCCGAGGAGCTGCGGCAGACCAGGACTGAGCTGATGGTGCTGATCCAGGTCAGAGAGCACAACATGAGCCATTAAGAGTCCCTAAATTTAAGCTTCTGCTCAATTTCCGATTGCTGCAGATGGTCTGTAAGGTTTGACCACATAAGAAATTGTTTTCTTTATGTTAGGTGTTAAATTCTGTTTTCAATATCACAACGTTCTCCCAGTAGAGAGCAATGCAGCTCAGTGATTTATTTCCTAGAAGTGAAATTTAATTTGCAGACATTTTATGTCGCAAGTAAAGACACAGAATCCACGCAAGTAAAACATATTAAGATCCAACTTACTGATTACGTCATTTGACACAGTTCAGTCTATAACAGGATCAAACAGAGTTTTAATTTCTGCTGTATTATGTATAAACTTTTATTAGAGGCACAGGTATCACACGGGAAGTAGAGATTCATATTTTTCCCAAAACTTTGACATTTTTTGTCCCAGGTGCCATGACTTGTATTTGGGGTATAACTTCAGCCACAATTAAAATGCATTGCATATTTCAAGCAACTCTACTTGCAACAAGGAGAAATATGCATAAACCTTTGTGTTCTCAATCTGACTGCTTTAATTTATTATTTGGTGGAATTAATAATCAAGGCAACAGAACAGCGTTATATAAACATTAGAATGAACATAATCTCCACATGAAGCCTGAACTTGACTGTAGCTGTGAGAAATATGAAATGCCAAGCTTGTTGCGTGTGATCTCTCTGCTGAGAACAGGCTCATGGAAGTGATATTTGATGATTTTTCACCCCACAAGCATAGAAATTCATCAAAGCAAGTAATTTGGCTTTTTAAAGTCATTCTGTAGCTCCTTTGCATGTGACGTCATACATTGATATGCTGTCCAGTTGTAGGGCAGGCAGCTGGAGGCAAAGACAACCAACACTGCACAAATGTTTTTAACTTAAGCTGTTTACAGTTGTTCCAAACAATCAAATTGGAAAAAAATTGAGGGCCACTTTAAGTCCCAACAATAGTAGGACGTAAAGGGGAGAAGTAAGGTCACTGAGAAATGGCAGCAGATGTGGATCAACAACCACCTTTTTCAGTTGTGAGGAGTGGAGTCAGCTAATTTTAAACATAAGCATAACAATGTTGTGTTAAACACGCCTCGAGTTGGATGCAATTACAGTGTGCTGTGACAACTTCTGCATGATTTTAGCCATGATACAGATTTTTAGCAGTGTTTCACCAGAGCTCTGGGAACAGTCGACCTAGTAGGTAGAAAATAGTAGTTGTTTTTTTATATATAAAACAGACAAAATACAAACAAAACAAACAAAGGACATACAAATTAGACAATTAAAACATTAACAAAACAAACAAACAAACAAAAAACCCAAATCCCAGCATCTCTAACCCCCTCAAGTCCAACCTCCACATCCAAACCATACACTCATCCTCTTTCCTTAATCAAAGCACTCCTCTCTTCTCTTTACACTTCATCCACAGCACCAACAAGGAAAGACATCAGTTTTTAGTTCATTTAGTTTTGTCAGAACAACCAAGTTAGAGGTTTAAAAAACAAACATACATACCCAACTTCATACATAATACTTAACATTTTAGTCCACTAGACTCCTGTACACTTTGATCAGCTGCCAGTGTAACATTAGTAATGTTAGAAGGTCTGGAGGACGAGGTAATTGATAACGACGATCCACACCGGGCAAATTGATCGAGTTGAGGGAAAAGTAACTTTGTTTTGTATGGATCACATCCAACATTAGTTTCATTATTCTGACGATGCCTGCTGCCTGCAGGTTCATCCAACCCTTTTATGTAGTCACTTTGCTCTATCTCCACGTCATGCAGTACATGAATCTAAATGCCCTCCATCTGAATTTTGTGCATCATAATAGTCACATGATTTCAAACAAGCTATTAAGCTGAGATGGATTCTATATTCTGTTTATCATTGTTCAATCTTTGGAAGTATTTCCAAGCAAAGTTATTGGTGGACATCATGTTGTGTTAGCCTGATGTACATGGTTGAGCCTACAAAAAATGAATTTGGTGGGCCGAAAGAAATTTATTGTTGTGCTGCTGAGTTTTGCATCCCTGCCGACTCCTTGAATTGCATCTGTGTGGGAGGACGCGAAGGACTTCTTGTTTCTGTAGTGATTTGTATATTTTCTACATATCAGCCGATTCTGTTGATGCTTAGAATGTAACTAGTTTTTCTCATTTTTCAGTTATTATATTTCTCAGGAAACAGGAAATAGTTTGGATGTATATCTCTCAGGAATCAGTGTCCTGGGATTAAACCGTACTGACAGAGTGTGAAGCTTGAATCAGACTGAAGTCTGTCATTATATCTGAAGCTCAAAAACCTCCTCACTTGTTTTTCCAGGTAGCAAAGTCTCAGACTGACCCAGAGCCGCCCAGTGATCCTCAGCTCTTCCCTAGCTCGCTCATCAACTCCTGGGAGCTGGAGGAGAGTCAGGGAGCCCAGGGAGGCTATCCTGCCCTCCTTCTTACCCTCACTTCCTCCTCCTCTACCTCGGACGCACACCCCCTCCTGTCAGACATCCTCTCTAAGACAGAGGACCCCAGTCTCCCCTCTCTCCTCTTCCTCACTCACCGACACTTCTGGGTGCTGAAGATGGACTTCAGAGAGCTGGCAGAAAGGGAGAGAGGGCATAGTGTTGACAGTCATCACTCCTCCTCCTCCTCCACCTCCTCCTCCTCCTCCTCCTGGTGCAGGCTGGTTCACGTGCCCCTCGGCTCTGTTTTGCTTCACCCCAGAGAGAGAGCGTCTCAGGTCGGGGACAGAACCAGCAACACCTCCTGCCCTGACCCAAAACACCACCACAGGTACAGAAGCTGAAGAGATGTTTTAACTCCATTTACTTAAGCTTTTTTATGTGTCTGTGTATTTTTGCCAGACATATAATTTCGGACAAAAATTTCACAAGCACCTTACTTTAAGTTGTGTGTCATTAACATGCACATTTATTTAATCCCTGTATGACAAATTGATTAGGCTTAGCCATTGATAAGATTAAACACAGTAAAAATCTGTAATTATTCTGAGGGCACACAAAGATGAATTCCAAGTCTTCATAAAACAGACTGATAAAATTGATTCTCGTACATTAATGATTTCATTTTTGTTTGCTCTGTTAGTTTGTCATTAGGTATGTTTGCATGGAACCTAATATTCCACCAATAATCAAAATAATGCACCATATAAACGCCTCAGTCAGAAGAGACTGACCCGATCCGGCCTGATTGGAAGGAATTTTCAATCAGGCTGAGAGGGATGAAGTAAACCTCTGATAATATGTTCGGTAGGAAAATATTAGCACCTATAACCAAGTTAACGCTTAATCCGATCATTTTTTTCTGGTTGAATAAATATATTCTTTTTGCATGTCTGCCCCATGTGGTGGGTAGCATTAGGAGACGTCATGTGCTACAAACGACATGCTGCAACAGGTGTTTCTGTGCAAAAACTCAAAAACTATCTAGTACTCTGGTATTGCTATCATCTCATGTGAGTGAAACAGAAACCTTATGAAACGTTGTTACAGGCTGTGATGTGGAGTCACTGGACTTAACAGTCGTTTATCGCTAGCGGTAGCATAGGGCTGGGAAATATGAAGGTATTATATTGTTATCGAGATATGAGACTATGTTTTGTCTTAGATTTTGGATATTGTTGTATCGTGATATGGCATAAATGATGTCATTTTAAAGGCTGCGTTACAGTAAGTGATGTAAATTTGTCCACTTACCAGACTTTTCTGTTTGTTTAAACACTTGCTGTAACTCACTTAGTCATTTTATTTACATTATTGGTGACTGTTGATCAGAAATCTCATTGTGTTATTATTTTCTGACAAAAAAAAAAAAAATAGCCATCCCATGTCACATCAGAGAGGGCATTTGGACAGAAAGAAATATTATGTTCGATTTTGTCTCCCAGTCCCAAGCATTAGCCTGCATATGTGGCATTAAGGGAACTTTGATAAATTGTAATGTCTACAGATGTGAGGCACATGTGAGATGTGCAGTTGGGAGAAATTTTCCTTGAAGGCTTTCTATGAGAAAGGGATCTCTTGGTTAAGATTAGGGAAAAAGTTGTGGATTGGGTTAAAATGAATGGATTTCTGTCAGAAAGCCTACAAGAAAAACTTCTCCCATATGTGTGAGGTGTTTGCAAATTTGCGAATCCTAGAATAGCGAAGGAATAACCCACCATACTGTGCCTTTGATTGTCTTACACTGACACTCTTCACCTGACCCTAACCAATCTAACCACTGAAGGAAACGAGCACTTGCCAATCATAGGGAGAGTAGGGGAGGTTATTCCTTCGCTATCTTAGCATTCGCAAATTTGCAATGTGTATCGGGGACATCTGTAATTGATAGCTTCAGAGAACAACCTCCTCTGGTATATTTTTCAGCAGATTGGATGTTTAGCAGTGGGCGGAGTCAAAAAAAGTTAAATTCTGATCAAAAACTTTGTGGTATGTAAACTTATTTATTTAGCGTCCAGGTAAACAGTTCAGCTGGAATCTCTAATCAGAATGATTCAATCAGATTGAAGAAGTATTGTCCATGTAACTGGAGTTATTATCTGTACTTTAACCATCACGTTGTGTGCAGGAGGAGTCACACTGTGGAGCTGCTGCTGGGTGGTCAGAGGCTGCTGCTGCTCTTCCCTCTGGCCCAGAACAGGAGCTCCTTCCTAGGGGAGCTGAGCCAGCGGAGAGCTTCTCTGGAGGGGCTGAAGATGGTGGCTCTGCCTCTGCCCTGCCGGCCCTGTCCTCAGCAAGGGCAACACACACAAGGTGAAGACAAACTACCTGCCCATACACTCAGGAAGGGAATTTCCCTCAGGCCCTATTTTAGCTCATAGTTTAATTTAGTTTGACCCTCGCTGGTCTCTTGTCCCAATGTGTTTGACACCTCTGTGTTGTGTTTCCAGGCCGTCACGGATCAAGGGACCAGTGCTGCTGTACCAGTCAGAGGAAATCACACAGCACCAACAGGTAGACTTCTGAAGCTCTTCTGTGTCGTCCAACATAGATTACATTCTCTCCATGTCATTTACTTCTCTTCTTGTGCCTGCATTTAGAGCTACATGCTAATATGTGTCCCAGTTTGATAACACTGTAAACACAGTGAACTTATCTTATCTGCACACTCATTTATCAGTGAGTGTGTATGACATTTATTTATCTAAAACAAAACATGACGCAGAGCCACTGATGGACGTCAGTTAAGCTGTAATTTAATCACAAGAGTCCGGCCGATACGTTGGCATTGTCAGTGTTATCCACTGATTTGATCTTTTCACAGATATAAAGGTATCAGCTAAGTGTTGGGTGTACGTAATAATAAACATTAGAGATGGTATGTTTAAGGTAATATTAAAACAGTGTCTCCATTACATCGTTTGTTCACCAGAGCGCACTGACAAGTTTATTTCTTATCGAATAAAATGTCCCACTTAGTAGATAATCTAGTCACAGTTCTTTAAGAAATTAAATACTCCTTATCAGAATGTTTTGTGAAGGTCATAAAACAAATATTGCTGGAGGTTTTTTTGTTGTTGTTGTTGTTTTATATATTTCATTTTCATATTTTAGTTTTATGTTTAGGACACATGTAAAAACCCAAAGACAAAAACACCAACAAACTAAAGACACGATTAAACAAAACTAATAATTAAAAATAAATGAAATAAAAAATTCTAATGATAAATTAAAAAAAAAATGATTAGTGTAGTGTGTGTAGTGAGCGTAGTGTGTCATCTTCTTTTCCCACAGCAGCTCTGTGGTGATCATGGCTTATTATCTTTGTCCTCCTCCTCCTCCTCAGTTGGGACTCTTCCCGCCTTCAGGTGGAGGAGAACCAGCCGTCCCCCCACCTCATCCCAGGTCTCTCCCCAGGCCTAAAGCTCTTGGCTGGGCTCGGAGGACAGCAGCTGCTGGCCTTCTTCCACAGATATATAGCAGTGGTAGGACACACACACACACACACAGTCTCTGTAGAAAAATACACGGCCACACACTTCTAGTGGGTCATAATTGATGATTACTTCTGTATGAGTCTATGCATTATTTTTAGGAAACTACTACATAGTATACCTTTAAAATTCAACTGAACTTTTTTTTTTTTGTGTGTGTCAGTCTGAGGCGGAGGAGGTGAAACAGGTGTTGTGGCTGTCTGTGGTTCTCTACAAGTCTCCAGAGTCTGAGCTCACCTGCTGTCTGCTGCTCTCCACTGATACTATCTACTTCCTCTTGGAGGACTCCGCCTCTACGCTCGGCCATCACTCAGGTATGATGAATTGACATGATTGAATTGGTTCAGTCAGAGTGAGAGAAGTTATTGAATCAAAACATACACACAGATGATGTGGGGCCACTGGTTACACTACAGTGTGTTTTTAATACTTACACAAAATCAGATCTAACATTTGAGACATACACTAATCATTTTGCCCGGTTCTCAATAAAAGTATCCTCCTGGCGTCTCAAATTAAAAGTCATTCTCTCCATTATATGACTAATATACACCAAGTCAATCCACTTGTCGACACCAGGTACTTTTTTTTCAGCCATTTCTCGGTTAGGGATTTATTGCAGGCCACTGATAATATTCTTAACAGATATTTATCCTTTTTTCTCCACTCGAGTTTCTCCAGTCTAACCAAGTACATCAGCTCAAAATTAAAAGTGATTTTCGTTGAAAACACTTCCCAAAAATGAGCCTCAGAGGGACACCTTTAAAAAATTTGGAACTGATTTGCATCTTTTTCCCTGTTCGATCACCAACAGTCCGTCTAATTTAACTAAGATTTCTTCTGGGCAGCTGTACAGAAGTAACTTGTGACATTCTTCCAGCTAAATTTTCTTCAGGATGCGGAGCATGTTGTTCTCCGTTGCTGTCCAAATCTCACTTCCCATTTCCCTTGTGTGATTGTCAGATTACCCTCAGCTTCCTTTCTTGTTTTCATTTTAAATATATTTTCTTTATTAAGGTGTTGAAGGCCCATTGAAAAAACCTTTTTATCAGGTTCATTTTCATATGCTTTACTGCAGCTGTTCCCAACTGGTCCAGCCACAGGGTCAAGATTTGTCCTTAGTCATTAGTTCAAGGTCCACACAGTTTAAAATATTCAGTGTCATACTTGTGCTTGGCCATGTCGTCAAGCTAGTTAGCTGTCTCTGTCAAGTAGCTGTCTGTTATTCACTCGCTCAACAGGAATCGGCACTTCACAATAAAAGCTCTGTGCTGGAAATTCACTGTGCTTTAAAATAAAATGTGTCTTTTACAAACTTGACACATTCGCGAGTCACTTGCAGTCCATTCAGAATGGACCTGTGACCCACTTTTGGACCATGTTGGGAACCACTGCTTTAATAAATATTTAGTAGTTCATTTTCTGTGGTGCACAGAGAAATAAACTGTACTACTACTACTTCTGTGCCACTGTAACTGATACTACTGTCTCTACATCTACTGCTGGTTCTCCTGTTTAGTTGGATGTTAAGTCAAGTCAGTTTTCTTTATACAGCCCAAAATAACACGTCTGAACTTACAGCTGTAATAAATCACTTGAACCCAACTGTCTGCCATGTTTTTGCATATTGTCCAAATAATATTTATCCAACCCTTTTAGATTTAGGTAAAAAATGCACTAGGGTACATTAGTAGTAGTAGTGTTTGTAATGTTATTTTCACCTACTTTGATTTATGTAATCACATAGAAATTGTCTTAGTTTATTTTCCCTGAATGCTAAGCTAATGAGGATCCTAACAGACAAACACACTTAAAACTAATAAGAAATAAAAAGGTACAAATTGAAAAACAGTAGGAGTTTCTTTTATTTTTCAGTCACTCAACAGTTTGTTTTCTGTTGTGTAGTGAGCATCTCACCCTCTGAGAGAGTGTGTCACTGTCATCTTTGTTTAATCTCTTCTGTTTTTTTTTTTTATCTCCGTCTGTCTTTCTCTCTCTGTCTGTCTGTCTGTCAGTGTTGGACATAACGGACTCTGGAGATCCAGACGTCTGTCTATGCTGCTGTCTGTCCATCAGGCTGTCTGATCTGCTGTCTGTCAACGTGGGACTGTTCGACCAGTACTTCAGAGTCGTAGGTCAGTGAATGTTTGTACACCTTATCTCTGGTGTATAAACAAATTTACACCAATCTGCTGTTTAATGCTGATGTTACCCTGTGTTATCCTCTTTATCCTCCTACTGTCTATCCATGGATTCTCTCTCTCTCTCTCTCTCTCTCTCTCTCTCTCTCTCTCTCTGTCTGTATCTGCAGGTCATTCGGCCGATCACATTGTGTGCTGCCTCAGCAGGGACAGTTACGGGACGGGCGTCTTCCTTCAGGAGCTGATGTCGGCTCTCAGTCTGCAGCAGCAGCTTCCTCCTCCAGAGCCGTCAGATCAGGACTTCTACTCTCAGTTCACCAACACAAACACAGGTAACCATGCAGGGACACTCAGAGGCAGTTGAATATCTGTGATGACATCAAATCCTACCTGAACAACCTGATTGGTTCATGATCATCTGTTCAAAGTGCTTCCCTCTACATGTAAATATAACACATTGCTGACACTCAAACTTCAAAAATGTCCGTTACTGGGGAAGATGGGCAAGTTATCCAACGTCACGTGAACACTGAAACACGCTGTTTCGTTATCATGTCAAAACAACAAAAGCTTTCTGATGCCCACTCAACTACCACTATACTACTGAGAGGAGTGAATGTGGAGAGACAGAACATGAAAACAACAGCAACAAACAGCTCGCGGAGGTTGCATTGATTTACAGATCCCACTGACATGCATGTGACTTTATTTGGGCAACTTGCCAAAAGAGATTCATGAGATGGAAAGACAGACTTTCCCAATAAGATTGAGAAATTATTTATAAATTACAAGACAGACAAAATGGATGACATATTTCTTGGAATAAGGAACGTGTTTGCTGATTCACCCCACCCATCCTCATTACCCAACATATAATTTACCTCCTATTTGCTGTCTGCTTTGATAATCAAGGTAAATTATATGTAAATTATTAACTGCTGTAGTAGGGCCTCCTGCTTACAACCCATATCATAGTATGTCTTTTATCCAGGTAAGATAACTGTCATAATGCCTGCCAATGTTCATGTTCTGTTTTCTTGGGAAAAAATAAAATCTCTAAATGCGTCAAAAAGTGTAAAAAAAAAACCTACAAATTTGTCAACTGCGGTCAAGTACCATGGCCTTTCAACTATATTTACATTTAATACTTTCAAAGAGAATCTTCAACAACCACTGGATGCAGCTGTTCCTTAACAGCTCTAAAAACAGACCAGTCCTGTTGGGGACATTTTTGCCAAGATACATGTTGTCCAAGGACGAGATATTTATCACCCTTGAAGCCTTTTCTTTATAAAAGTGAAACACGAAAAACATTTATTACAGTATGAATCCCATATTTTGTCCAAGTTGTTTATCAGTCATGTGCAGTACTCACACTCTTACCTGTCAGGCTCTTAGAAGGGGTCAGAATTCATTTCTCAGACGCCAGGAGACACTTTCAACTCATTAGCTTCTCTGAAACATGTCACATGTTACATTAACTCCTGAAGGTACAACTGGGCTCCTTAGACACTTCATGTCTGACATACTCTAAGAGACACACTATTAACAGACACAAAGAAACATGATAGCCTAGCAACATCTAGGCCACAAGAACACAAAATGCTACTCTCTCTTAATGTAACAGGCTCGCTCTATAACCCAGGGACCAGAGAGAGAACAGAGAGTATCTAGTCCTCAAATCATAATAATACAACCTCACCTTTTTCAAAGTAATATCCAGAAAAAACATTGTCTTATTTGACATTTAAACATCATCGTCAGCCCCTTTTGGTACAAAGAAGAATGTCAGAATGTGGACAGACATGTTATTTTTAGATTTACCTATTTTAATATGTGTTTTTATCCTGATATGTGAATTTGTTTAAATAAAAAATCCTATCCCAAAATACATCTGTGCACAAATTGTTTGGAAGACTGATCTAAATTGCTGACCTGTTATTAAGCTGATGATGGTGACAGATGTGATTTTGTCTACCCCTGCAGGTAAAATGCAGAACTACGAGCTGGTGCACAGCAGCAGGGTGAAGTTTATTTATCCCAGTGAGGAGGAGATGGGAGACCTGACCTTCATTGTTGCGGAGAGGAAGACTGTGGCAAGTGCAGCATCATCGTCCTCACGCTCCTTCAACGTCCTGCTGTACCTGCTGGTCTTCCAGGTAAGAACCCTTTGTGATGGGGGAGACAAGTAACAGCGTATTCATTCGCCAAGTCCTTCTTAGCATTGCCTCTAGCAACGGACCATGGCTGCCCTCACCTGACTACAGTTCCCCTCCCAATCATGTGAAGCTTTGTAATGTTTTTCAGTGAGCTTAAAGGCACACTAAGCAGGATTCCCTTAAAAAAAAAAACAATATATAGACTCACAAAAAAGTAAACCCTCTCAATCATCACTTATGACCCACTCTCAGTGTGTGGCGGTGTCTGTATCTGTAGAGGACCTACCCCCCTACCTGGATTTTCTCATGTTCGTCTTATTATTGCTTGTTTGGGACGTTTCCAGGTATCAGGCTTTGGGTAGTGGTGGGTAGCCCCCAGCCAATAGCAGCACAAGGTCAGGGGACTATAAAAAAATCGCGACCAGCCGTTTCTCTCCTCTGCTTTGTGAATATGGGCTGCAGGTCCGTGTGTCTGTTTGAGACACATATACAAGCATGGGCCTTAGTTGAAGAAACAAAGTCAAGCAATGCAGCAGCTTCCTACAGGGTTGTTTGGGTGTGTTTATTTGTGCTTTAGAACGTAACCACCATGAAACAATCAGATCAGTTTTATTTTAATGCCTCCATGCTGGTGATAGCCGTGGCCAGAGACATTATGTTTTCGGGGTTTCTGTATGTGCCTATGTCTGTCCCGTTTTTGTGAATGTGATATCGTGAGAATGCCTTTTGGGAATTTCTTAAATTTGGCACAAATGTCCACTTGGACTGAACAATTAAGTGATTGAATTTTGGTGGTTAAGGGTCACTGTGGCTGCACACAGTTGCAGTGATTCGCATTGTCGCCTCACAGCAAGAGGGTTCCTGGTTCCAACCCAGGGTGGGGGAGCCGTTCTGTGCCGAGTTTGCATGTTCTCCCTGTGTCATTGTGGGTTTTCTCCAGGTACTCCAGCTTCCTCCCACAGTCCAAAGACATGCAGGTTAATTGGTGACTCTAAATTGTCCATAGGTGTGAATGTGAGTGTGAATGTTTGTCTGTCTCTGTGTGTCAGCCCTGTGATAGTCTGGTGACCTGTCCAGGGTGTACCCCGCCTCTCGCACAGTAACACCCCTAATGTGACAAGCGGTTATGGTAAATGAGTGAATGAATGAAAATGGATGAAGGGTCATTGTGATCTTGCATCTGTCTAGTTCTTGAGTACACGACATCTCAAGAACGTCTTGAGGGGATTTCGATTGATTTGAATTTGGTGGTCAAAGGTCACTGACCTCACAAACCATGTTTTTGGCAATAAGATAAGATAAACTTTATTGTCCCAAACGGGAAATTTGTTTTGGACACATAGCTGCATAGCAGATACAAAAATCATGGACAATCAAGACACACAGTAGGCAATGATGTAGTACGTCAAGAAAGCAGATTTGAATAACATGATTGTACAATCAGGACTTCTGGGCGAAATAAATACATCAACTTTGTCATAACAGGTAAGGCTAGAAGAATAAAACTCCTTAAGGTTGCACTAGCCCAGGAGATCATAATTAAAAGTGCAAAAAAAACTGTAATATAGATAGTGCAAATAAAATACAATAGTGCAAATGAAACCGTCGCCAATAAAAACTGAAGTGCGAGAAAAAAAACATACCAAAGTGTACGTCAGGTCAATAGTCACAATAGCAGCCCTGCTCTGCCAGGGAGACACCGCAGGGCCAGCAGATAAAGAGAGTGGCATAACCATAAGAACATTATGAGAATAGTTTTTTGTGAGGGGGAGTCAGGGTAACTGGTTCACTGTTTGCTTACATGTGGGGTAATATTAATGTCAGTTTTGTGTTCACAGCCTTTTTCCATCACCCCCAAGTGTTTAAAGACATCAGTTATTGCAGGTTTAAAAAACCCAGTAATTGGTTTGGTGTGCAAACTCCCAACTCTCAGCTCCTTTTAATCAAGGCTGAAGACTTTTCTGTTGGTTGCTGCATTTTATTAAATCAAATATTCATTCCTTACTCTCCTCTGGAAATTTTACTCATTCATTTTTGTCTTATTCTGTTTTGCCCTGTTTCTATTTTCCTTTTGAATTTGATGTAAATGTACTTTTGTAATGTGTTTATTTTGCACTTTGACTCTCCTTGTTGCTGAAATGTGTTATATAAATAATTTTGCCTTCCCTATTGATAATTTCTTAACTGGTTTTGCCTTGATTTTATATTTCCACTCTTTGTATTTGCTTCTGTTTTATTATTTTAAACTCTTACAGAAATAATTGTTCTTCTTTCCTCCAGGTGCAGATCCCCAGCACTCTGCCCAGCCAAGGCTCCACTCTATCAGGCCACTCCTCTTCTGTTTCTGGCTCCGGCTCATCTCCAGTACTCCAGCCCAGGACTTTGATCCTGACCAGCACCGATGTGTTCCTATTGGACGAGGACTATGTCAGCTATCCTCTGCCCGACTTTGCCAAAGAACCTCCCTCCAGGTGAGCACACAGGAAGCCCTACCCTCCAATACCACAACATTTCAAAGTCATTATCCGTCTTTATCCAGGTGGATCACTTAAGAGCAGAATTATTCACAGTAAAGGCCCTCAGGTTTGGGAGGCAGGGTGGACAAACACTTAACAATAACATCAGTGACACGTGTCATCTCCAGTGAACGCTGCAGAGTTGTTATTTGGCAGCAAGTTAAAAAAAACTGTTCCCTCTTACTCGTCTGCTGCAGGAAAAGAGGAAGAAGAGGAGACAGTGACTGACTGACATACTGTGAGAGACGCGTAGACAGTTTAGTTACAGGGAACATGGGGCACTCAGGGGGGGAAGAAAAGCTGAAATCAATATTCACTGAAGCCCAAGAGGCAGAGCATCAAATCAGTCCCTTTGTGTCCCTTAATTATTTAGTCGCAGATAACTCACACACACATTTTGATTCATCAGTGCTCAGCTGGTGAGATATAATTTAAAGGGATGTCTGAGTCCTGAAGAAGTGACTATTGGTCAACACACATTGTGGTGTTTACATTTTCTTACATGACACAGCTGCAGAGCGAGCTTACAGTAGGCTCACAAAAAAACGTGCTCTTTATTTAACTAAAGAAAATATTAGTCTGTATCCACCTTATCCCTGAGGGTGCTACTGGAGAAATGATTATGGGCGCAACTTCCAGTGAGATAGCGGAAGTAGCAGTAAGCTAATTAGTCCCATAGACTGTCTGTGGTTCATCCCAGTGGCTACTCTTGGTGGCAAACCACCAACGCTGGTTCTTTTCGAAAGTAATTTGCCTTCAGTTTAGCAAATACTGATTTATTTTTTAACAAATATTTAACTAATGTTAACTAGCATTTTCTAAAATGTCTTTGCGGAGCTCTGGTACCTCAACGTCAGTACATGATATTCCTATCTTTACTACCACTTTATATTTCTGTTACTGAAGTCTGCTGCTAAATTCAGCATCATGTGTCACTCAGAACAGTTTTTAATAAATCAGAAGTTAAAGAAACGTGTAAATGGCTGAAAAAAAACTGAGGATTAGCTTGGAAACATCACATTTATTCACTTTACATGCAGCTACAGTTAGCACCGAATTATGTTACATTTTTTCCACATGTGTTAGGATCCCTTAATAAGTCATCAGAAATCATAAATCATCTTTAGAGGGAACAGGTGTTTACCTTAAGCTAGCTCGGGCCATGTTAAAGTTAACAATATTTTAACGGAGCAAGGCAAGCTAACTGCTAGCGTGCTTGGTTGAAAAGGAAAAAAAAACAATGCTTTGAGATGGCTGTCAGAGATGGCAGAGGTATGATCACATAATCCCGTTTGAGCTATAACAGGTGGTGTGTTCCATGTTTTATTTCCCAATTGCTCTTGGAAAGAAGAATAGAGTGCTGGAGACAAACGGTTGCCATTGGAAATAGCCGGTTTTGGTTCAACGCCGGAAATTGCACCCATAATTTGCACAAGGTATCATGGGAGCTAGGAATAAGGTGGATACACATTTTGTCCAACATCATGTCCGTGTTAAGGCGGGCTCAGAATACAGTGGTTTTAAAATCCTGAACTTTGAAATCTGGTTGCATCACACACACATTGACAAGACGTTCCTCTATCTTATCACAAACATGCACACACCACAAGATTTGAAAATAACAGCACATCACACGCTACAAGATAAGACTGAGATTATCGTGCTAGAGGGAACATGAATGCACCACCTCCCGTGATATTATAGGGAAGCAGATATAAACAAATAGGACACTTTAGAGGATGCGACAACTTCCTGTAATGTAAACAATGCTTTGCAGTGACCAAAACAAAAGCAGATTGCGAAACAAGTCTGGATAAGAAAATGGTCAACATGGGCTGTCTGTTCTTCAGGAAGAACTGAAGGTGAGATTTTAACTGTCAGTTTTAATAACTGTCAACAGTAGTATAGTAGCTACTGTTAGCTTTAAAGGCAATAATGTTAATCAGTGGTTGGAAAAACCGTCAGCTGCTGCATACCGACATAATCATCCAGGTGGGTGGTAATAACAGTAATGATAACATATCACTTCTGCTGTTATCGCACCTATAGTATAAGTGGGGTTTTTTGTCACCACAGTGTAACAGTAACACCAACAAAGACAGTCACACTATGCGCAATTAAAGGCAATAGAATAAAAGTGTTGTAAGAAGATTCTTGAAAATCTTGATGGCAGGAGGAAGAGAATTCCAGAGCCAGGAGTGGAGCTCTATAATGTAAGAGGGGGCGAGGCTGTTTAACACTTCATCAACAAACATCAGAATCTTATAATGCTTCCTGTCGCTAACAGGCAGCCAGTGTAGGGAGGAAAGAATGGGTGTAATGCCCTCCCTCTTTTTTGACTTTGCTAAAACTCTTGCTGCTGCATTTTGGACAAGTTGAAGAAGGGATAAACAAGAATGAGTAATACCAAAATATAACGAATTGCAATAGTCGAGCCGGGAGGAAATGAAACATGTTCATGTGTGAAGCTATCAGGGTGGCCTCCATGAGTCTGTGAACAGTTCAAGAGGTTTAAAACTAGATTTGTAAACCTCTCACAGTACCAGATAATCTGGGCCGAGCATCAGTACCAACCAAAGTCCCAGACCGGATTTATCCTCCGTTTGTCTGGAGGGGTGAATCAGGGATAAACTGGCCCAGAAATCCTGCAGTCTGAGCCCGGCTTTAGTTGATCTTCGTTCGGGAGGGCAATTATTTAGTGGTGATGATGTTTCTCTCCTGTTGACGTCTATTTCATTGACTTGGACTGGAGTGTATCTCTTGTTGATCAAAACAAATGTGTTGATTTAACAGGTTTTTGATTCTGTAAGCTGACATACAACTACTTGTAGAGCTGTGTCCATATCATCCATATTTATGTCATTGTGTTCTGGCTCCGGCAAAGGAAGATGATGTCCCCATTTTCAACCCTTTCTACTGAGCTCTGATTTGCTCAGTACGTTTTCCAACCAGGGAAACAGCCTTTACCAGACCTGTTTTAAACACAGGTCAGATATGGGTGGCTGTGTAATATTTGCCATTGTGGATCTGTAACAGCTGGAAAATACGAACCACATTTAAAACAGCTCTCTTTTTATTTTCCTCGTAAACAAAACATTTGAAATTCCAAATGCGGTACTTCAGAGATGCACCTGAGAGAAATGTTGCTGATACAGAAGCAGTGACAGTTTTATCAGCCCAGAGGCAGGGCAGATCTGCTGCATCACTCTCTCTCAGCGTGGAGATCATTAACTGAAACTGCTGGTCGGTGTTTGTTTGTGTTGCTCTGCAGTTTACTGACTCGCTGTGTCGTTCATGAGGGGACTGTTCCAGTGTTCAAACTGAGTAACAATCTGAAAGTGATTGAGCTCAGCTGAGCTTCAAACTGCTGATACAGATCCATTTGAAAATGTCTTGATCAACCAGCATCCCTAATAAAAGACACTTGAAAATGAAGCACCAGACCTTTGAGGTGAGATAAGAGTGATCATTCAGCAGCTCAAGACAGATATTTTCCTCAGGAGTTGGTAGAGACTAAAAAGAGAGCTTAAAGAGAATGAGTGTAGGACCGTATGGTGTTCTTTGTTGTACCTGTAACCACCACAGTGACATCATGTGGTCACAGAGTACAGAGGTTTTCAGTATCAGTATCTCATTTTTATTTTTTTAAATCAAAACATCTGCCTTTTCTCTTTCTGTAAAACTGTTTCAAATGTCAGTGCCAAGAGTTGCTCCTAGTGACGACATTCGAAGAGAATTCTTAGAACTGTGACGTTTTCTTAGAATTACCAGTTAAATTTAAGACTAGGTCCTTAAAGGTAAAAGTTATTTACAGAGTATATTAGACCTTAAAAGAGCTCCTAATGTGAAAAACTGTTAGGAGCAGGGAGAGAGGACTTTTAAGAGGCTTAAGAGTTTCTTTTAGCAGAGGAGAAAGTGGTGGAAACACAAAGAAGTGGGAGAAATGTTCTCTAAACGCTTGATGACAGTAATGTTAATGAAATGCTACAGATTAGATCGTGCAGGGATAATATGTGGTTGATCTCATTAGAGTATGCATACATTTCCCACCCAACGCAATAATGCTATAATGCCAGAGATAGTTATTACATAAACCACCAACACCAAGATATTTATAAAACTGGATGATGCAATAGAGTGCAGCAGTGATCACTTGGGTCTGTCTCACCCTTTCATCAGCAGAGTGATCACACTAACAGTGACAACCCTTTCACAGTTGGCTGTTTATTTCATTTCATTCCCACTGGGTGTCTGCGCCATGCAGGCTCGGAAAAGGGTGTGTCTGTGACAGCCAATCACATCTGTTAAAAGAGTGTGTTACACCTAGCAACAGGATCAACCACACCTCCTCACTAAGGTAAACGTTGCTCTGAGAACTTTCCTAAATCACTCCTAAGTTAGGACTCCTTACTAAAAAATTTTTAGGCAAAGTTAGGAGCTCTGTCAGAGCATTCTCTGAATGTGTGTGAATATGGCCCCAGTTTCACAGGCACGTTGGTTACTTTTTATACATTCATTGTGAGCCTGATGAAGAAGATGCACAACCCTTTGTTCCCTTCTGTTTCAGAGCTGCTTCTTGTTGTGTGCCCTTTCTTAATTTTAAATATTTTTGAATCTTATAAAAAATATTATTACAAAAAAAAATCAGATTCTAAATAACCCAACACTTGTTTTGCCCTTAGTTTTATCCAAGGTTTATTTCATGACTTTGGGAAATGAAATTCCACTTGTTGCAGATCATTTTAATTGAGAAATATTAGTTACAGACTTCCATGGATCATCTTAAAACATATAAATTTTCTATGATAAAATCACAAATCTTTGACTGATTAAATATTAATTTTATTTATAATAATTATTAATGAACCCCTTTTCTCAAAGAAAAGATTGTTGTGTGTTTGACAGAAGTGACGTCTTTATGACAACCTTTTACAGTGTGGTAGTAGTCATCCTCCTCCTTCTCATCTTCATCTTCCTCATCCCCCATCAGGGAGCGGTACCAGCTGCGTGAGGCTCGGAGGATCAGAGACCTGGACCGAGTGCTGCTGGGGTACCAGACATACCCTCAGGCTCTGACCCTGGTGTTTGATGACCTGCCCGGCCCCGACCTGCTCTGCCATCTCACCATGGACCACTTTGCTGCTGCAGGGGAGGAGGTCCTGCCCAGAGAAGGTGGAGCCAGCAGTGGGGCAGAGGGTGAAGTCCAGTGGTGCGTCTTTGTCCCAGGAGCCGACAGCAGAGAGAGGCTAATCTCTCTCCTCGCCCGCCAGTGGGAGGCGCTGTGCAGCCGGGAGCTTCCTGTGGAGCTCACTGGCTGATTGCTGGATGATGGAAAGACAGTTGACTGTTCAGCACCTCGTTCGTCGTTGGGAGCTGATTGGCAGGTGGAGTCATCATGTGACCAGGATAATTAACATACAGATTCAGGGCGTGGGGGGCTGTTTAAAGGCCTTGATATGCTTCAAACCGAGTAGTTTGTGTAAAGTCTTGTCTGAAACCGTCCAAAGACAAAGCTTTTTCTAGCTGCTCCAAATGGTCTCACTGAAAGGCAGCCTGTCGTCATAGAGACGAAGAGCTGCAATGAATCAATTAAATGGGGATAAAGATGCACACGTTCAGTGTCGCCTTGAAGGCATTCATCATTGCCCTTGGTTGGTCACATGAACAGTGACAGAGACAGTTACGTAAGAGAGAAGTTTAAATGCGGCCTACTTATATAGCTCCACACTCCAAGCCAGTCGCATCATCTCACCATGTGTTACTGATTTATACTGTGTCCGCGCCTTTAGCCTGCTGGTGTATTCCTATGGTGCACTGAGTAGACGGAGTCTGCACACAATCTGAGTTTTATTGTAGCTGGCAGATATGCCGGATCTGACACTAAATTTCAGTGGCAAGAGAGGCATTTACAACACCACCACCACATTGCCCATACGGACACAAACAAGATAATGGTAAGACAGAGAACTGGTGAATGTCGTTCAGGCTAAAATCATATTGTGAAGAGGCAATTATTTGTCAGCTATGAAAGCTATTATGGCTTTTGCCCTGTAGGCTGATGTTTTGTCAGCTGAACATTAGGTTGTTGCTGCCGCTGGCAGATAGCACTTCATTTAAACAGTTTTCCTGGCCTTCACCATTACCTGTTAAGCGGTGCACCAGTGCACTGAAATGGAGCGGACCCACTCTCAGTGAGCACGCCAGAGAAAACAAATAGGGGGTTTGTGTTCCGACGTCACATTGTGTTGCAGCTAATACCTGTATATAAAGATGGACGACACGTCTCCGCTACCTCCAGCTGGACAAAAATGAAGCCAAAATAACCCAGATACAGGCGCCGCCATCTTGTAGTGGTGATGTCACTCGGAGACAGAGTCTGCACAGTAGCGATCTCCACTTGATGGGCACATTCAACCCCCTTTTTATAGTATCAAATAACAAATTAAACTGCACTTATGGGAAAAATGAAAACTCCAGCAAACATAAGCATGATAAGAATACCTAATATGACAGAAACCATTTTGGGAAAAAGATATCGACGTTTACCTCTAAGTTTTTAGCATAGAGAGGGTGGGGCTTACGACCTATACTGCAGCCAGCCACCAGGGGGCGATCAAGATGTTCTGGCTTCACTTTTGGGGAGCTGGCACCTTACTGAAAAAAGATGTTCAGTCCAAGAAGACCACTGCAGAGGCCTCAGTATGCCTCTAAGGAACTCGTTAATAGATGTTTCTTCTCGTTCTGTACGTCCACACTTAAAATGGGGTGAAATGCCCCCTGTCATTAGGCGGTCCTGGCTGTGTCACACTGCCTCCTCACTTACTCTCTAACAACTCTGTGTCTTTTGTGTGTCTTTGTAGTCTTGACGTCCTGATTCACTCAAATGGGGATAACAGTGCACACTTTAACACACTCTTCTCGAAGGAATTCATCCTGTTGCACTCAGTCATTCATGAAAAGAGACAGAAGTAAGTGGGAGTGATTGTTGGTATTGGAGGTGGTCTCAGATGCTGTTAGATGATCCAACAGGTGCTCAGTTTGAAGCATACTGGGGCCTTTAGTCGCACTCCATTTGAAAGGGATGTGGCTCTGCACACACTGTTTGGTGTCCACTACAGAAAAGAAACTGAGGCTCAGTCAGACTCAACAGACACCAGACTGCCACTACAGACCTGTGACCTCACAAGAAGCCGAAATATTGGGAGTTTCTGGCACAACTTCTCTTTCTTGCAAAGTGTCTCACATTTCAGACTTGATTGACAGACAGACTGACAGACAGACTGATGTTGCACAGCAGGGGGCGCTGCAGACAGTCCACAGGAGTCCTACGAGATTTTAATCAACCTTACCTTCAAGGAACAGTTTGTCATTTCTGGTAAATCCTCTTGTTCTCTCTCCTCTCCAGAGTCAGACTGTAAGATGTGCATCATTTTCATCTCTGTTTGTCCAGGATATGTTCAGCCTAGCTTAGCACAAAGACTGGAAGCAGAGGGAAACTGCTAGCCTAGCGTCATCAAAGGATAAAACAAATCCACCCTCCAAAAATCTCCAAAGTTGTTTGATTTACATGTTGGTGTTTGTGTAAAGTTGCTCTTAAAACCAAAAACGTTTTTCACATGTGCACAATCTGACTCTGGACGAGGTCACAAGATGATATCCCAAAATGTTGTTTTTAGGAGCACACAAACTCTCTCTCTCTCTCTCTCTCTCTCTCTCTCTCACACTCACACACACATTCACACTCACACTGCTGCTCGGCACAATCTGCTCTCTGAACATTTTATCCCTTGCACATTGTAATTAATGAAGCAGTATTATTGAACTGTATATTGAAGCTTTTTATTAATATTATATTAATATAATTATGTTTTGGGACAGACGGATGTTTTCCATCCTGAAGCAGATTTTGTACTAAACATGGAGGTCTTCATAATGTTTCCAAAAAGAACTCTTAAATGTCATATTAAGTATTATCATTGAGTATTATTTTTTATATTTTCTTTGTGTTTTGTTTTATTGTATGTTTTGTTTTTCATACATTATTATTATGGACAAATGGGAAGCCAACCAGCCGGCATTGGACTACCCACTCTTCACCACTTGTTGTTTACGTTACATCTTGTTGTCTTGTTAAAGGGGAATGCCACTGAATTAAAATGAAAATGAAGAAAGTAAGAATATTTCCCGTTTGGTGTAGTGACAGTGATTTGATTCTTAGAAAATCAGCAGGATTTACCACAGTTAGCAAACATTTAAGCTGAGGCAGCGACTTATCCAGAAAACCAGTCTGACCAACAAGATGTTAGTCACTCCATGTTTCTGTGGGAATGACAACTGAAACTGACACTGTGATAGACACAGTTACTGCAAAGGTTTATTTGACATGTATTATTAAATCTGGAAATATTAAGTGTATTACAATGACAATTACTCAAGTAAATGTACTTGTACTTTACTTGAGTATTTCTATTTTATGTTATTTTCCACTTCCACACCCATACGTCTTAGAGACAATTCACATTTATGTGACAGCTTTAGTTTCTAGTTACTTTTTAGATCAAGGTTATACTGCACATACAAAATACATGCTCAGTTTATGATGCATTATGATTTGATTATATATTTGTTATAGATTTATTAACTGAACTGTATAAGAAGTGGTTAATAGTTGCTTATTTTTGACCAGCTACAACATCAACTGCATGTTACTGCATATGTAATGGGTTCTAAATTAGCACCAGCCACGTGCTCGTAAAATATGCAAGTGACTGCCAGATTTTCTTCACTCATTAGTTAAAAAAACCAATGCTAATCTATTGAGTGACTGGTAGATTTTGGAATCCAGTAGCTACAGTTGCTGGTGGTCAAAAAAAGGTCATTTCCAACTCTTGAGTATAACCATAGACTAAAAAAACAATGGATGTAGCTACCATAATGTCACCCATTGGTTTGTGGACTACTGTTTTAAAGCCTTAGCATTTCAGTTGTCGCCATCTTGGATTTTTGGAGCCAGAAGTGACCATATTTGGACAAGAGAATGGAGCTGTGGAGGAGCGAGGGGTGGATCTGACTGAGAAGCTGAGGACATTATCAGCAAACAGCCTGTCGCTAAAAGCTGCCTGCCTGGTGGAGTATCTCTCACTTTAAGGCTCACTATGCCAAATGTGTAAGTCTGTTTGCTTCTACAGCAACATTGTTTTAAAGAGCACAAGTTTTACTCCACTTTTACCAAAAATGGTGTATGTAGAGGGAATATTGTGGGCGTGACGGTGGGTTAAAGAGAGATGTTTAATAAGCTCTCTGCGCATTGAGTCCCCCACTCTAGCTCTGAACATTCTGTCCAATAGAAACCAATGTAAAAATCAGAGAAGGGCATTATTACCAAGCTCCAAACATATCTGAATATTTGGAAAAGTTCGAATGCCATTTGAAAGTTGAATACAAGCCAGAATGTACGAAAGATGGGGAACATTTTAAAGTTTGAATGGAGTTTCTGAATGAAGACATAGGCTTTGAAAATGCTTGAAAAACCTTGAATTTGTGTCAAATTTGAACATTCCTTCATTTTTTTGAATGGTTTAAATTTCCCAGAAAATTGTAAATATTTCAGAAAATTTGAAAGATATGAATGATCAAAAATATAAGCACACGTCCTAATTGAGCTGAATAGTTTGATGTTTGAATGAAGTTTCTGTGTTGAAAAACGTGGAGGCAGTAGCGTGACAAAAAAGTGGGAAAAATTTTTGCATAGAATAACATAACATACTTTACAGCATTCCCACCCAATAAACAATATCACTCAGAAAAACACAGTGACAGTCACTGTTACATGCTTCCCAATGTGAGCCAGCACAGCACTTCAGATACAAGTTTGTGCAAATAATTTAGCGCTTAGTTAAGATTTTTCGATATTTTGTAATGATAGCAGTTCCTAAAAAGACATTAAGAGAACTTTTTGTGTCCTGCAGTGCCGTAGATACCATTGAGGACACTGAGGTTCGTGTCCAACTTTGGGAACTTTACATTCGGTTAAAACCTTTTTAAGCCGGAGTCTTAAATATTCAGACCTAATACTTTTATAAAACTAAATTTAGGCCAACAAAATAAGGTATTCAGAAATTCTCCAACAGAAAATATTCCTGGCAATATGAAAAGAGCTTTTGCAACGGCATTTAGACCATAATGTTTAGATCTAAAACACTTGCAAAATGCTTTTATTAATTATTAATTTCTAAGTAAGTTTACTGGAAAGACCTACAATATGTAATTCTGTGTTAACTATAGGGAAGTTCAAAATGAGATTGTTGGGAGAGGACTCTGATCTATGACCTCAGTGTTTTTTTTAACTCCTGACTGTTGTGAATCATATTGTTTTCCAGAGAAAAAAAGACATTAAAAATTGACCAAAAGTTGACCAAAAGTTCTAGTCAGCACTTAATTGCTCTCGACGCTTTGTGAGGTTTTGATGACTAGACGTTTCAGAAGCACGAAACCCACTGCCACCTTTCAACTTGTTCAACTTCCTCTATTTCCTGTCTGTCGGAGCTGCTCACCATGAATTTCGGCAGATTTCCTTTTTAGGGACACTTCAACAGACAGAGGGCAGAGATACTGTACGAGGAAGTGCGATCAGCAAAACTGGCTAACTGACCTTGCATTTGCATTCTCTGGGTGCCAATAGGTCAGATTACCAATAGGAATGAATTTCAGTTCCAGCCTCTGTTTTCACAAGAAAAAAATGTAAGAGAGAAACAAATTACGTTGTTCAAATCTTTATCACATGGAGAGACTGGATCCAAACAGGATTTCTGTTTGGAACAAAGCAACAATGTGCCAAGATGACATGACAATGCATTTTGAAGAGCAAACAGGGTTACAGTGAGGCTGGGAAACTACTCAGGTCATCAGTGTTCACATTTCACATCTGCCAAGGATGTTTTTTTTAATCCGATACGTTCATTATCAGCATTAAATTTCTCAACATATTTACATTTAATCTGGTGGAAAATTCAGCTGTTGGTCACTGGACAATTTGATGCTGAATCACATTGCAAGTTAGGACCTTTTTACTATTTTCTCACAAAGTGCTGGACCTACTTAAATGAAAACAATCGGCTCATGTATGCTGTATTTGAATTTTGATGTATATTCATATGCAGATTAAAATGTTGAACACATATTCTGTTGTTAAAATGACAAATTTAAAGGATTGCGCTGCCTTGGTGGCATTACACGCTGTGTGAGCTCTAGTACAAAAGGCCCTTACCTTGGTGCATACCCTGTTTGGTCCAGCTAATGGTCCACTTTAACGACCGTACAAGTTTGGCACAGGTTAGCAGTTTAACAGTTTGTAAAAGTTTAATTAACACTTCAGTTCAACAGCTATGCCAGTTGGCTAGTGGTCCACTTAAGATTGGCTAACGCTAAAACAGTGTGGTACAGGTTTGCCACTGGTACAGTTTAAGGGCTATTATGGTTTGATACAGGTTAGCTAACAGTCCAAGGTATCAGCTACAAAAGTTTGGTACGGGTTAGCTTACAGTCCAGGTTTACAGCTACAACAGTTTGGCACAGGTTAGCTAATGGTCCAGGTTAATAGCTATAACAGTTTGGAATAGGTTAGTGGTCCAGGTTAACTGCTTTCACAATTTGGTACAGGTTAGCTAACGGTCCAGGATAACAGCCATAACAGGTTGTCACAGGTTAGCTGACTGTCCAATTTAATGGGTATTGCTTACAACAGTTTTCTACAGGTTAGCTAACAGTCCAGGTTAACAGCTACAACAGTTTGCTACAGGTTAGCTAACAGTCCAGGTTAACAGCTACAACAGTTTGCTACAGGTTAGCTAACAGTCCACGTCCACGGCTACAACAGTTTGGCACAGGTTAGCTAACGGACCAGTTTAATAGGTATTGTTATAACAGTTTGGTACAGGTTAGCTAACTTAATGGTCCAAGTTAATGGCTGTAACAGTTTGGTACAGGTTAGCTAATGGTCCAATTTAATAGGTATTGTTACAATAGTTTTCTACAGGTTAGCTAACAGTCCAGGTTAACGGCTGCAACAGTTTGCTGCAGGTAAGCTAACAGTCCAGGTTAATGGCTAAAGCAGTTTGCTACAGGTTAGCTAACGGTCCAGTTTAATAGGTATTATTATAACAGTTTGGTACAGGTTAGCTAACTTAATGGTCCAAGTTAACGGCTACAACAGTTTGCTACAGGTTAGCTAACAGTCCAGGTCTACAGCTACAACAGTTTGGCACAGGTTAGCTAACGGTTCAGTTTAATAGGTATTGTTATAACAGTTTCGTACAGGTTAGCTAAATTAATAGTCCAAGTTAATGGCTATAACAGTTAGGTACAGGTTAGCTAATGGTCCAGTTTAATAGGTATTGTTATAACAGTTTTGTACAGGTTAGCTAAATTAATAGTCCAAGTTAATGGCTATAACAGTTCGGTACAGGTTAGCTAATGGTCCAGTTTAATAGGTATTGTTATAACAGTTTGGTACAGCTTAGCTAACGATCTAGGTTAATGGCTACAACAGTTTACTACAGGTTAGCTAAGAGTCCAGGTTAATGGCGAAAGCAGTTTGCTACAGGTTAGCTGACTGTCCAGGTCTACGGCTACAACAGTTTGGCACAGGTTAGCTAATGGTCCAGTTTAATAGGAATTGTTATAACAGTTTGGTACAAGTTAATTAACTTAATGGTCCAAGTTAATGGCTATAACAGTTTGGTACAGAATAGCAGCAAATTGTTTTATTCACATTGTATAATAGTTTGATTAACCAGGAGAGATAGTTTGGTTTTTGACTAGGTTTTTCAGTTAATATTTGGATCAGGTAAGCTATCAGTTTAGGTTGGCATCTGATGAACAGGTCAGTTTAGCACCTGATACTTTGTTCAGGTTTTTTAACATTTCAGTTCAGCAGCTGAAACAGTTAAGGTTGCTAACAGTTTAGTTTAACAGCGGATTCATTCACCATTTTGCACTAAATGACGCAGTGGTTAAATTTTCCTTTGTGCTAACTGTTAAAGTATCTTAGTGCACAAAGATAGGTGTATTGTATTTAATATGATATATATAAAGTTGGTAGAAAACATGCCGACACCAAAGTAAATGAATATTTTTGTTCCATTACACATTTTGGCCCTGGTGTATGTATTCATGGTACTGTGAGGT